CACATGGTCTGTAATGTCTACCTCGGCCTGATCCCACAGGGAGCTCAGGCCACAGACCGAACCCCCAGGAGGCAGGGGCTAGCAATCCCCACTGCTGGACCAGTTAGGCACTGGGACACAGCATCCCCTCCCAGGAGAGGCGGCCTCCATCTGGAGAGGGCAATTCTCCAGGGAAGGGCCAGCTGTGAGCTCTTAGCAGCCAGCAGTCACAGCAGCCAGGGAGAGGTGCACTGGCCTGCACAGGGTATCTGGGTAGGACTCCAATGGTGTAGACCAAGGGAATTATCTGAAGCTCGGAAAGGAAGGGCAGAATTCATCTCTACCCAGGGATGATTTTCAAAATATTGAACATCTGTCATGGCATGGGCCTGACCAATCAGAAAGACAGTGTGATCAACCCCAATGGCTGGCTGTAAAATGCGAGCACAGCCACCCCTGCGGGTACCAGCTGAATGTCAACCCCGCCTCCGCGAAGGGATTACACCAGGAAGCAAGCCCTGCAGCGGCTGCTCTGCGAGCACCAGTCCACTGAAGCCTCACAACCGCCGTGAGGCCGCCATTACCCCATTCTCCTGCGGAAGAGCCTGAGGCTCGGGGACGTTTGGCGGCTCGCCCAAAGCCACACAGCCCAGTAGCAACAGGGCAGGACTTGCACTCAGGTCTGTCTGGCCCCAGAGTCAGTAAACGTTTTCCTCTCTGCCTCACTGGCTTGAAAGAGACTAAAAGAGCAAGCCAGTCAAAGAAGCCGGGTTCCCAAGAGAAGCGAGGGCCCCTCGGTGACGCCAGGATCATGATTCGATCACGTTCAGAGGGGAATGAAAGGGAGAGGAACAAGCCACGCGTGACCTCCTGTCACGTCGAGAGACGCTCTTTTCAGAGAAATGTCCATTTCGCAGGATCGATATGCTTTGAAGTCTCAGAAAGCTGATGACGACACACAGCCCCGACCCCTGCACGTGGAGCCCCGGTCCAAGAGGCAGTAGAGATGAAATTGAATGACCTGGAGGAAGCAGGTTGTAAACACTCAATATTAATGATCCGTTTCAGTCCCCAAGAAGCCAGCCTTGGGCTTTGCCCAGCTGTGTGCTCTGTGTTAGAAGATCGACCTGTCCTGAGATGGGGATTCCCCGCCCTTCCTGCTAAGGACGATGACAGAGCCCGTGTCCCCTATCCGGGGGTAGGCAAACTTTTTCTGTAAAGGGCCAGAGAGAGAGTAAATATTTTGAGGGCCGTGAGATCTCTGTTGCAACTACTCAACTCTACAGTTGTTCCTCGAAAGCAGCCATAGACAGCACACAAACAAATGGGCGTGGCGGTCTTCCAGTAAAACTTTCTTGACAAAAACAGGCAGCCAGCTGGATTTGGCCCACGAGCTACAGTTTGCCAGCCCCACCTATCCTACTGCTTGGCTTTTTCAGGTAACCAGTGCGTGCAGTCTGGATGCTCGGTCACTCCAAGGCCACAGGGCGTATCCCTAACTTGCGCTTTTTGTGTCCTAACTTGGGGCCACTGGCTATGGCGAGGGTCAGGCCACAGAGGTTAGATGGTACACTACAAATCCACGCACACAACTGAACCAGGTAAAACACGCACAAGAACATGACACTGCTGTGTTCAACCTTCTTTTTAAGTAAACATTGAAACTTTTTATTTTAGAATAGTTTTAGGAAAACAGCCAAGATAGTACAGAGTTCCCAGGTGCTCCAGGTGTTGTTGTTAGAGCCGTCGGTTCTGACTCCTGTGACCCTGTGGACAGCAGAGCGGAACCCGGCCCAAACTTCTTGTGCCATCCTCTCACCCTCCGGCGCTACACCAGGCAATGCTCTGCTGCTGTTCACAGGTTCTCACGACCCATCATTTCAGAAGTGGGGGGCCAGGTCCTTCTTCCTAGTCTGTCGAGTCTGGAAGCTCCGCTGAAACCTGTTCACCATGGGTGCCCCTGCTGGTATTTGAAATAGCAGTGACATAGCTTTCAGCATCCCAGCAACACATAGCTGCCACAGTATGACAACTGAAGGACAGGTGGTGTGGTTTCCTGACTGAGAAACAAACAGGGGCCACAGAGGTGAGAACGCTGAATCTTAACCACTAGACCATCAGGTCTGGCTGCCCCACGTGTTAATACATTATTATTAACTAAAATCCCTACTTTGTTCAGATTTCCTTAGTTTTTACTTAACGTTGTTCTTCTGTGCCAGGATCTCAGCCAGGGTACCACATCGATGACCTTGACAGTTTGAAGGAATACTGGTCAGGTGTTTTGTACAATGTCCTCCAGTTGGGATTGGCCTGATGTTTTTCTCATCATTAGACTGGGCTTGTGTGTTCTGAGGAGGAGGACCACAGAGGCGAAGCCTCATCCCCATCACTTCACATCAAGGGGACGTGCTCTCAAGACAACATTGCTGTGGATGGGGACCTTCATGACTGGGCTGAGGTCCTGTCTGTTAGGTTCCTCCCCTGTGAAGTTACTCTTTTCCCCGTTTCACACTGTCCACTCTGCAAGGAAGTTATTGTGCAAAGTCCACACTTTAGGAGTGGGGCTGTGCTCCACCTCCTGGAGGGTGGGGTAGCTACATAAATCATCTGGAATTTTTCTACACGGGAGATGTGTCTCTTCTCCACCACTTATTCATTCAATCATTTATTTACATCAGTGTGGAATCGTGATTATTTACTTTATACTTCGGGTTATAATCCAATACCGCTTTATTTATCTTGTGGCTCAAGTTGATCTGGCTGACTGTTGGAGGCTCTTTCATTTGGCTCCTGTGTCCCCTGGAGACACCCCATCCATGGGGTGTTCTGCTTCGTTTCGTTTAGCACTTCCTTTGTGCTAAAGGAAAGCACACAAAGTCAGAAAGCATTTACTTTCTGACACTACAAAATGTTCCCAGCTCCTCTTAAATACTTCCTACCCTGGTCCTCGAATCAGACAGTTCCCCAAGGAGCCCCAGTTCCACTTTCGACCTGTAACAATGGCAGTTCCACACGGTTCATCGTAAACAGAAGAACGAACTGGTGACGCGGACTCCACGAGTCACACGGGTAGGCCACCATCACCTCACTCAGGAGGGCAATCGCTCACTTTTGCCTGATTTCACGCCTCTTCTCTCCTCAGTTAGACCGTTAGAGTCACGCACAGACCGCCTCTTCCCTCTGCCCTTCTCTCGCAGCCGCCAGCCCCCACCAGCTACACACCACTCACGCCCACCCTCAGCCCTGCCCATCCCACCACTGCCAACCATCTTTGCTGGTTGGTCGATAAAATTCAAAACAAGAAAACCCAGAGAAGACGACTGAGGAGAAGCCAGCACCATAGAATGGCACTTCCCTGAAGGTCGGGGCTGTCCTCCTGGAGGTCAAGGCTACTTTCATGAGCAAAAAAGGGGAAGCAATGGAGTTCTTCGTGAACCTGCCATTTTAGACCTTTTTTTTTTTGTTTCTCAGGGAAAAGAAGTCTGTCTCATATAACTTTTGCCCCATTCAAAACCCTCTAATATTAATACTTACACCTCAGAGAGGGATCAGAGGAATTCAGTCCTGAGATTGTCAGAAAATGAAGAAAACTACAGACAGAGTAGGCCCCACTTCCAAATGGACTGAGAAATACATCAGCCTTTTTCCAGGAATAGAGCCCTCTAGGAGTCCCACCAACACCCAAGGTGACCGGTGGCCAGCGACAGGGCAAGACTGCCACTTAATGGCAGCGTCCGGAACTGGATGGAACGTGTTGACATTTCGTTGTATCTTTCACAAGCTCTTAACCTTTACATCATGTCGATAAAAAGCCCCATTAACATTTAAAAGGGATGTTTCTGGGTGTCCACTTGGAATAAGAGTTAGCAAACACTCCAAGAAATGGATTATGTATCTCATCTGTGCCAGATCTCCAAGTTTACTTCCTTCCACCGTAAAAAAGCAAACTCATAAAACGGCCAACAGCCCAACGGCCACTAGTTGGAAACACAGCAGCTCTCTGGGAGGCCGCCCAGAGCCAGGGGATCCTCAGGCTGACCTTCCGCGTTGGTGGTGGCAACCAACGAGACCTTCTGCCTTATTTTTCCTCTCTCCGTTCTCTGTCTTTCCAGATGTGGCTTAAACATCACATCCAGAAAGCTCCCCTAAGCCCTCCGGTGGGATCAGACCTCTGCTCTGGGCCCCCACGGCCACTTGAGCTTTCCCCACCAAGAGGCCCTCAGCTCAGTGCACTGCCCTTGTCCACGCACTGGCCGGCCTTCCACCCAACGATGGGCTGTATGCTCTGTGAAGGTAGGTGCCGTGTGCCCATCTAGTCACTCACTCATGCACGCACACATTCGCTCATTCACTCCTTACAGAATGCCCACGACAGGCCAGGCACTGGGGAGACCCCAAGGAACGAGGCAGATGTGGCCCTGTCCTCTTCAACTCCATTTACAAATCGTCTACTCTGCCCGTCTTCATATCCCCAGTGCCTGTCAATACATGCGAGATGGATGGACGTGTTCCCTCCTTCAATGTAACTTAATTAAATTAATTACTTCCTATAAGAAGTAAATTAATGCTGTTCAAATGCTGTGAATTCCTGTGGCTCTGTATGCAAACCGGTAGCCTTCAAGCCTCACCCATCCTACATGTGCATTTTGTTTGGTCAAAGGTATGTGGCTTTTTTAAAAATTGAATTTGTTTCTAACATTTAAAACCTGGAAGATCTCACACAAAACGTTGTCTTTCTGGCTCCTCTAGAAACGCGAACGCACATTCCTGCAGAGCACCAGCAAGCCAGAGCTGAGAAACCCTGGCTCTTTTAGACAGAGTGGGTGTCCCTCACTTTGCCACAAGCCCCACCCTCACCTATTGTCCTACCACTGAGGCCAAAAGACTCTGCTGTGTATCATCTCGCCTTTGCTGAGGATTTTCTTGCCCTAGTCCTTCACTCAGGACCTACGTGCCCCTCTAGGCATCTCAGTTTGTGACCCCAGCTTTATGCCAATGTTATCCAACAAATACATCTGAGATGAGCTACAACACAAATGAACGGGCAATTTTATTGATTTTTACCTCCTAACACATCCTCCTGGGAGTAGATACAAGTTGTGCAGTTTCCAGCAGGGATCTCGGATGCAGAGGGAAATTGAGGGAAGACGTAAACCCAACAGGCGCTTCAGTGGCGGACCAAAACCCATGTTTACTGGGATTCTTGCAAAAGAATGCTGAAGATCAAGAATCACATCCTCATACCACCAGCTTAAATACTTCTTTGACAAAAATAATAATAATAAATTATCTTCAACTCAGAAAATAAATTGTGCTCAGCAGAGTGACAGGAGGGTCCATTCATCGCATTGCACTGCGGGGCCGGGCAAGGGGAAGGACAGGTACAGGCAGCTACGCCGACAGAGGTGCCTGGGGTAAACGGCACGTGCTGAAGGTGGTCAGACGCACGCTTTTATGCCAAGGCCAAGTGGTGGCCCCCTGGCTGTGGCCTGTCCCGAGTGAGATTTCAACTGCCCCTCTTCCTCCTCACGTCCGCCGTGTCTTCTGTTTCTTGGCTTGTCTCTTTGCATCGTCTGGGCCACTGTTGTCAGAGGCTGTCTGGCCGAGAGCTCGGACTCCCTGCAGTCGACTTGTCAACTGCAACAGCAAGGGAATGAGCTAGAAAGAGAGAGAGAGAGTGAGAGAGGCATGCCAGGAGAAGACTTACAGCACACCTCCTTCTCAGGTCACCACCCACCATGTGCTAGGGAGTGGACTTCAGTTCAAAATAAGGGAGGCCTTTGTACCAGAGAGGTCAGCAGAGACGGGCCGGGCTCTCTCTGTGAGCAACATGTCTCTAGAAGAATTCCAGATTTAAGGATTATGAGAGATGTTACGAGAGGTGAATGGCCTTGAAAGAAGGCCTAGGGAATGGACTAGAGGTCTTTACAGTCCCTTCGCACCCTAAAATGCTGTAACTTCTGTGACACTGGACATTCTTCCACTGTCGCTTCACAGCTGGGAGGGATCATGCACCCTGACACATCTGCTCCCTCACGAGGTCTCTGGATGTCCTACCTTATCGTGGTTGTAGCCGGCCAGCAGGACAAGCAGCGTCAGAGGCAGGGCAATGTAGGATCCCTGGGCGATGTCCTGCTCAGGCAGCTTCCTCTGCAAACACCAAGAGCAGCGTCACGCCTCAGTGAGGCGTGGCCCTTGCTGGCCCTCCTATCTGCCACCCATGATGACACAGCCACAACCCACCCAGCCTTTCCAATCAGCTACCCGAGGACACCTGGGTGTCCCACATGATCCAAACTCTCGCTGTCCAAAGCAAAGAACTGAGGCAGCTCGGATAACTCTTCCGTTGAATCCTCTGCTTTCCAAACTCATTGCCTGCACCCTGAAACTCAGGAACAACTAGATTCTGATAATAAGGGATTCCTCACCCCCAGAACTTTCACGATCTAAACTGAGGCAGCCAAGAGCTGTGGAGAGTAGGGAATCCCTGTGGTTGAAAAGTAAATGGGTTCCACTTTGTTGAGTCCAGGCTATACACAGGGACTCTGTCCGACAAGGAAGTATCAAGAACCCGCTGTTCTAAGCTCAGGGCACATAGTGAGGAACAAGCTAGTCCCAGAGATGATACCCAGTGAGGAAGTGAAGCAGCTGCTACTGCATCCCAGCGGCCATTCGCCCTTTCTTCCAATAGTACGGCCAACTCTCATCTGGGCCAATCAGAATACAGACATTTCCCAGCCTCCCTTGCAGCCCAGTGCGGCCATGGAACCAGATTCTGGCCAACCGTACATGAACAGAAGTGATGGGTGCAACACCAGGCTGTACCCTAACAGAGGAACGGCGTGCCCTCCCTTCTTGCTGGCCAGGCAGCACTTGGCCAAGTGCGCTATTTTGGAGAAGGGAGCTTCCATACGATCCCTGGACTGCTCACTCTTGGACTTGACCTCAGACAGAAAATTCCGTCTTGCTAAAGCCCCTGAAATTTTGGATCTTGGTAGTAGCAAATGAACCTAATCCAACTAGCTCACGCCACCCCCACAAAGGAAACAAACAAATTAAATAGAACTTTCAGATAATCATAGAACAGGTAAATGAGCCAGAGCACTGTTCTCAAAGCATGGTCCAGGGACCTCCCTTTCAGGAGATTTGCAAGGTCCAAACTATTTCCATAATAATGCTGAGATATTATGGCCTTTTTCACTCTCACGCTCTCACAAGTGTACAGTGGACTTTTCCCGAGGCTCCCTGACGTGACCATGTCATCACTCTGACCGCTAATGGAATGTGTGACCTGTGGATTCTCGTGTTTTCAACATTTCTCAGTTTTAATTTCTAATATAACATATATAGACAGATATACCCAGATAAATGAAAACTCTTTGAGATCCTCAACAATTTTTAACAGTGTAACAGGGTCCTGACACCAAAACATCTGAGAACACGTAGGCTGGAGAAGGACTGGGGGGCCCTTTTACCCGAGATGGTTGAGGCTGAATGGGATGGCCCCTGAGAAATGGAAGAATAAGGCAGGAATAGATTTCCACCTCCACTGCCTACTCTTGTATTTTCTGATGTCTTAGATCCAACCCATTTTCCACTGAGGTAAATACCTAATTAAAAGTTTAATTTAGTGGGCAGTAGTAGGGTGCTAATGAGAATAAGCTTTGAGGAGAGTTGGTCTAGGCTCAAGTCCCGGGTCTTACCAGGTGACCTCGGGCAATCACTCTAAGACTCAGTTTACTCAACTATAAGAGGGCGACAATATGAACAGCGCCCATTGCAGGGGATGCTGTGAAAATTCAATGCAACAAGCTACGTCAAGTGCTCAGCAGTAGTGGAATACTAAGTCAAGACAACAGCACGGCTACCGCATTCACACTTGACAAAGGAATAGAGCACGATGCTTATGAAGGCCCTCATAAATGTACAACGCTGAGCCGCTCCTCAGAAGGCTGGAATGTAGTGGAAACCACATGGTTGAGGAAAAACCACCCCATTTTGAGTCCTGGCTCTGCTGGCGAACCCTCGCTGAGTCACGTACTCTCTCCGAGCTTCTGTAAACATGGGAGGAAGGGCACCTCCCCTCGGAGGTTTGCTGTGAGGATCAGCAGTGAATACCCCGGGCAGGCCCGGCACAGAGCGGGCACACCCTCCACTCATCACTTGGCCCCCCAGCCCTCATGTGTCACCCCTGGCGGGCATCGTCTTCATTCTCAGAAGGGACAGACACACTCCTGGCAGCAGCTGTGAGCATCTCTATGTTCCCAGGTGTCCCCCTGGATCCAGACGAGTCTCCTGGCAGGGGGCGCTTGGGAACGTCGCAGGCTGCAGCCGTCAGCGCCCTTCGCGGAGGCCCTCTCCCTCTCACTGGGCCGTGATGTGCCTCCACGCAGAGACAAACGGTTCCCTCCATCCTCGCCTCTCTGGCACTTTCTCACCAGGTCTCAACGGTGGGGAAGGAGGTAAGTGCTTCCTCCTAGGGTCATTGGAAGAACTCTCTACTTCAGGTAAGATCATATTTGCCACGTCACCGAGCACAAACCGCTCCTCAGAGAAGCCCAGAAACCAGCCGAAGAGCCGTGTTCAGTCCTAGCTCTGCTACGAGCTGGTGACCTTGGACTCCCATCTCTGAATCAGGGATAATTCCTACCAACTGCTCATACAGGATGGTGTTTGAAAAACACTAAATCCAGGTAACTGGAGAGCCTGTAGGAAAAGATAATTTTGGCACCATTCTTCACACCCGACACCACGCAGACCCTCCTCTCCTTACCGTGGGATTGAAGATCAAGGTGACGTGCTTGTGGTAGCCCACTGCAGTGAAAGAGACCTGCGGCAAGACGTAGTCATACTGCGACCTGGGGAGCGTGGAGTCCAGCAGCACCACGTAATTCTGCACACAAGGAAGCAGAAGTTATCTTGGTAAAGGGCAGTCTGGGCAAAGCAAATGAAAACTAAAACCTAACCTACGGCCGGGATATAAAGGACCTCACATCTTAGAGAGATCCCCAAGTTTACACACCCAAACCAACGGCGCTGACTCGAGAGCGGTAACCTCAGTGGGCTACTCCATCAGTGACGGCCGCGCGTCCCCAGCGTCTCCGAGACTGTGTCTTCTGACAAAGCTTTCAGGGCTGGCGGCTCTCTTTAATGACACATTCAACCACTACAATTATGGCCCTTTGAGGACCGGACTTTATGAAACACAAGAAGTTATTACGAGCCAGTTCTGACGAGGGAGGTTCATGATCAAACTGAGGCGGACTGCTTTTATCCCAAATGAGGTTGACTTTTAAGGGACGATACTTAAGTGGCTCATTAGCTGCAAGTTGTAAGAACACGGCGTCTCTGGAACGGTCCAGTGGCGGTCACAGCCCGGCGTGCCGAGCCCTGACCGTGCATCAGGCACCACGAGCACCGCATGGGGCAAACGCCTGCCCTGCTCTCACCACTGACAGGTGGGGATTATTACTCCCGTTTTACAGACAGGGACAGCGAGGCCTGAAGAAGTTAACAGGGACTTGCCCAGGGTCACTCAGCTAGGAAGGTACCGAGCAGGCCATGAACCCAGGTGGAGTTGGACCCCGAAGCACCGGCTGTCTCCACAGTGCTGTGCTGCCTCAAGGGCTATTTCAAAGGGAGAAATGGGAAGGAATCCCCAAATTCCATCACAACCTGCTTCATTATTTTACAGCCATTCACGCCGAGAAAGGCCATAGTGTATCATCCCCAGGGCAGGGGGTAAGAAGCCCGGAGCGGGAAGGTCACACACAGGTTCACTCCTGACACCCACAGGCTAAGTCCACCAGGAAAGAACCGAACTCTTTGCAAAGTCTGCTCCCATTATGCCAACTACAACAGTTTGCTCTGCCCAATTAGAATTGATAAGACATTCTACACTAATAAATGATGTCCAATATTAAGGCCTTGGTTAAATAGATTATGGTATTTAAGATGGGGATACATTCTGAGAAACGCGTTGTTGGGTGATTTCATCGTTGTGTGAACATCACAGAGTGTACTTACACAAACCTAGATGGTACAGCCTACTATACACCTGGGCTCTATGGTGCTAATCTTATGGGACCACCATCGTATATGTGGTCCGTCACTGACCGAATCATCATTCTGCAGCACGTGACTATACACATGACTAGATTTATATACACATGAGCACATGCATTGAAAAAAAAACGAAAAGATACCTATCAACACGTTAACAGTGGTTATTTCTGGATGATGGAATTATGTCTGGTTTTTTTTCCCCCAAATCTCCTCCTGTGAATGTGTATTACTTTTATAAACAGAAAAACAGCTAATTAAGAAAAATAATCCCTACAGAGCCCAACCTCCCTTGATTCCTAGAGCATGTCAACCATTTCCGCAAAGTGGTATCAGGGAGCAACGAGAGAACTGTGTTTCCTCAAACTGCCGAGTAGAACGACTGACGGGCACGGGGAGGGAGCGGCGGGCTTCACCTGGCCATCCCTGAGCAGGGGCGGGAAGTGGAAGAAGAGAGACTGCCCGAGAGACACCGTCTGGACGGGACTGTCGAGGTTTTCACTTCTGTAAAGCTTCACCTGGAGAGCACACACAAAGCAGACAGGCTTCTGAAACTGAAACACACTAAACGTGTCATTTCAGACATCCTCGGGACAGCTCATCTCTTGGGGGGAGAGGACCTTTGGAAACATGGGTATTTGAAAGAGAAACCGTCGTCCCCACAGGCCACACATAATGCATCCCTGTCACCTGAGACTGCAGTCACACGACACGCAGAGAATCGTGAGATTTTAAAACAGATTCTGACCACTCATGTTAGCGCTCGAAGTAGTAACAATAGTAAAATGATAATATTAAAAAGAATAGCTTCTAACCTATCTTTAACATGCCAGGCATGCAACAGGCACTCTACGTACCTCGTCACCAATCCTGGCTACTAAACAGCCATCACTATCATCCCAGTAGAGACCCAGAGAGCCTGCGTCACCCAACATCACACAAATTATACGTGGGGGAGCCTGGGACTCAACCCACGTCACCGAGGGTCTCGCCCACCTGGCACTGCCTCTCCAGTATTGTAACCTTAACTCCAAAAGTATTCGTTAAACTCAAAATGCACTCCCGTTCTGCATTTGGTTCTCCAGCCTGCTTCTAGAAGCAGTTTAGTGCTTTGTTTCCGGCCTTTCTTTCTCTCAGCCTGACTCTGCGGCCTGTTCTCCCTCGCCTATGCAATGGGGCACGAAAAGAGGAAGGTATGGTCCTGGCCGATGCTAAGGGCTGGGGGGCTCCACCCTGCACCTGTCACAGGAACCGCCCCACCCCAGGGCCCATGTGGCACCTTTCTATATAACACACAAGTCAAGAGGAGTTTTCCTAAAACAAAAGTCACAGCCTGGAGGCCTACAGGTCACATGCAAGCTCGCAAATGTGTTCTTTTGTTCTTTTACAAAAGTTCTAAGTAAATCTGAATTCATTGCCTATACTAAACATCAGGTGATTTCAAATAACTCTAATTTCCAGCTTCTCTGGAAAATTGGCAAGCGACAGTCAACCCTGGGCCAGAATTCCAACACAGCAACAAGCAGAATGAGCTGATGAGGGGCGCCATCCCCTCCCACCTGCTCCCCCACCCCCTCAGTTTGCCCCACACCCCACTCGGCCCTCTTCACTCTCTGCTATTAAATGCCTGGCCCCCACAGGCAACATGCTTGCAACCCTGGACTGAAGGGCAGTTAAGCTGAGTTAAAATGTAAGCGCACGTCCTCACCCAAGGCAAACACTTCACTGACAGAAAATTACAAGTGCCCCTGAAATATACACTCCCGTGGCAATTCATTAACATCTTTCAAGGGATCACAGAACACTGTGTAAACATGTCTTCATTAATTGCAGACATGGAAATTCTGTTAGAGCTTGAAGAGACCTTAAGAGGTCACTGCATCCAACTCCCTGGTTTTACAGAGGAGTGTGAGGCCATGGGAATGGAGTGACCGCCCTAGGTGGCAAGATGGGTAAGTACAGGTGACAGAAGCCAGCCCAGACGTGACTTCTAGTCCACCGCCCGCCACCTCCACCCTGGACAGAATTTGAAGTTACAAGGTACTCTGCGCCTTGAAATGGTCCTTCTGTTTTAGACTCCAGGTTTTACTGAACATTCATTCGGCTTCTATTACAATGCTTCCAAAGATATATACAGCTAGCGAAACTTCTCTGAAACTGGAGCGCATTTCTCTCCAGTGATCAGCCATCGTTCTCCCAGATACACGCTGGGATGGAAGTTTCTCAAATCTCAACCGCAGCCCTCAGCACCTCCACCTTCAGTACACGAAAGCAAGTGCAACAGGCCCCAACACCGTGCTCCTTACTCGTCCCGAAGCCGAAAAGAACACAGTATTTTAACTTACCCATAATGTGGGAAGATACTCAGAGGAAGTGATCACATTTCCACTTAAATCAAATTGATTAATCTGCCGGAAAACTATGATGTTGACATCATCGATGTCGTTATTCCCGACCTAGAAAGAGATAAGACGCCGGCGTTGAGAGAGCTGCAGAGGAACTTCTGTTCCAGCTGTCGGACACGCCGGGAGCTCTCTCCAGCAAACTTCACTTCTTATGCCAAGGGAGCAAAGGCTGCTTTGGAAGTAGCCTAAGTCCAAGGTCACAAAGTGGCAGTAGGTGGCCCCCACACACATGTGGTTTGACAAGCACAGTACTTTTTTTCTAAGTTTTAATTACTTGCCAACATTTTTAAAAATTTCATATACAAAAAAGCCAGATTTTCCAGCTTCTCCAGCTCCTGCCTGGCAGCAATCAGCAGGAGCCAAGCCACAGCTGCCCCTCTGGGTGGGTGTGTGCTCTCCTGTCACTCTCTCACAGCTGCCGGGCCTTGGTCCCCAGGACTGCCTTGGTCCCCAGGACTGCCGTAGTCCTGGCCTCAGGCACCACAGCGGAGAAATATAACACTGGCAGATGCAGCCGGCACGGCCATTTAAAAGGCCAGCTGCCATAAACACATCAAGAAAATCCCTTTCCTAGGCTAAATAGGCCTAAATGTCCCACCCCTCCTAATCCCTCACAATCTTCATGCCTAACACCACCACATAAAGCTACCAAGGGCAGCCCCTGTTGTGCCACCCAACCCTCTAGTCTAGCTAATGAGGGTTATTTCATGAAAGAAAGCATCACTTCCAACGACTCCCAGCCGCTTCCTGTGACCTGGAGGGCTGCCTCATTAGGGACCAATTAGCTAAGTCATGATCTTGACTATCAAAACATGCTGCCCACCGAATGGAACAAACAAGGTCATCTGAATATAAGAAAACTGGGCGGGCCTGCCACCAATTAAGCCATGTTCGCTTTACTAGCTTCCCTTGATTTGAAATGCTGCTTATACCTTAAGATCCTTAACTTGCAGCATAATGAGCAGAGCTTGCAGGGGAAGAGGAGAAACAACAGTTCAGATTTCTTCTCTGGATGCATGACAGCGGTGCTGTTCATTAAAAACCCCATATAAGATGCTGCTTGTGAAGATGACACTATTCTGAGAGGACCCTTAATTAGGATTTAAAGTTGCCCCCGCAAGAGATGAAAGGCAGCCAGCCAGAGGAGCGCTGAAGGACTTTTGATCAGGGAGGCAATCACACCACGGTTCAGCTGAAGGATTTCACGCCTTACCGCAATCACCCGGTGGTGGGGGAGGGCCCGCTCGATGTGGTCGTTGCCTTCTGCCTTGAGCTGAACGTGGTACACACATCCCGGCTGCAAACAAAAACAGGGGTCACTTCTCTAGAAAGGGGCTTGTCACACGCAACCTGATCTGAGCCTGCTCTGACTACGGGCCCTCACCGAGATGCCGGGAGCGTTTCTGTCCCGCCAGACAGTTCCCAGTCTGCGGCCTGTTAACCTTCTGGAGAGTTCCTCTAAAAAGCACCCTGATGAATGAACATTTATCTGAAGTTCCGTAATCCCTTCAAACCCCATTCAGCTTCTCTACCCAAGGGAAATTAAATTTGGTTTCTTATTTCAAAATTGCAAGCATAATATGCTTATTCTGAGAAAGTCATTCTTTCCTTGCCGTCCACCCTTCCTCTCTATCTGTATACATGCACTGAGTGAGATCTGGAATGACACTCCCAAATGCTTACCACGGATACTATTTCTAAGATGGGGGATTTGACATTTTTCCTTTTTTAAAAAAATTTTCTTCTTTATACTTTTTATTCTATTGCTCACATTTATAGGCATCTACCACGTTTCCCAAATATGTCATTATTCTAAAAAATCTTTTAAAGCAACCAATTCCTGATCACCAATAGCACAACTGACCCGATGACGCACTAGGATCTCAAGCATCGGGTTGAGTTCACAGGTGTCTCCATGCACCTAAGAGGACAACCCTAAGATGTAATCGTTTATTTCTAAACTAGCATGGATAATGTGCATTTGATGATCTCCGTACGCAGCAGGGCAGGTCAGAACAGGCATCACTGCCCAGTCACCAGGGCACTTCCAGGTGGCAGCCTTACAGGGTTTTTTTCCCCTTTCAAAATTTTGTCCTTTTCGATATGTTGCTTGAACTAGCTTGATAATGAGCACATGGTACCTTTACAAAGACAATAAAGCTATTATTAAAAAAAAATGAGAACCATCAAATTTATGATCGCCAACAGACATATTAATTCACTTTATGGCTCAGTTAGGCCTGGCAGCATTGGGTTTGGTTCAAAATAGCTGTTTGCACCTCAGAGAGGAAGGGATGTGAGCAGCTATCTGTGAAGAAAAGGAGAACAGCACTGCTGAAGCTGGGCAGAGCGGGCACTGCCCACTCACTCCCGGGCCGGGCAGGAGCCCGTGGGGCAGCCGCTGCCATCCTAACTGGCCGGACTCCTGGCTCACGGCCGACTGACCCAGGGATTCACCTTCATCCTTTGGCAGCACAATCTAGAGGTGTAGCTTCTCACCCCAGGTGCCTTGACAAGCACACTGCCCGGAAAGATCAAATAACGAATTCAAAGAGGGTCGAAATCCTTAGGAAATCTTCAACGAGGGATCTCCAGGCTGCCGTCCTCTGGGAGACTGGCAAACTCAAATCCAAAACCCTTGATGAGAAAAGTCTAAAGATATTCCTCCAGCATCTGTGGCCCGGCACATGGAAGGCGTGAGCTGCCACAAGGGGGCGACTCTAAAAACCCTGAAAGCGCTAATGAATTAACACCTATGAGGAGGAGGAGGAGGAGGGTGACGGGGAGCATCAATTAATATAGAAATCTATTGTGGTGGAGAAGGAAACTAGATTGGTTTAATTAAATAACACGTGTTAAGTCGGTGAGTTTAGAAGAATGTCTCTGGACCAGCAAGACACTGGGGGGAACCTAGAAGGTGATGCAGAATTTGTATTCTTGTGACCATAAGAGTGAGGTAAGCCAAGAACACAGGTTCAGCCAAGGGGGAGGCTCTCCTAAGACTGAACTGCACGGGCTCCTCGCAGGCCCTTCTACTGCTGCGGACTTAGAACGAGAAAGCTGCCAACAAAAAACCTAAGCTCGCGGTTCTGGCGGGGACCACCTGGGGAAGGTTTTGTTTGTTTCTGCTTTTTAACCATTTACCAAGTCAACGTGCCAAACACCGCTGTACGTGTTTTACATGTATTAACTCATTTGATACAGCCATCCTATGAGGCAGACATATTATTCTCGGCCTCATTTTACAGATGACGGAACAGATACAGAAAGGATGAAAAACTTGTCTGAACTTTTACAGCTAAGAAATGACAGGCAGGACTGGCACCCGGCAGACTAGAGCAGAAGGGCGTCTGTGTGGCCAAGAAAGGATGAAATTGCAAAGGCTGCACTTGCACTGAATGGGAGACTGAGAACCTGGTTCTGATGGCCTGTCGCCTCTCCCTGGGCCCTGGCTGCAGCGGGCACGAGGAGGCGGACACCCATGCTGCCACACGGCCCTGTCTGCTCTGTGGAAGCACCGCCTCAAGGAAAGCGGGCCTGGTGGACAGCAGAGAGCAGTGTCCTGTGCCCCGGGGACACGTCCCCGTGGCAGCACACTTCACGGGGCGGGGCCCTCCCACAGGGCGGAGGATAGCTAGAAAGGAGCATGACAGTGAGGCTTGTCCAGATTCCTGTGGATGACAAGATAACTGCCATCTTGATGAGTCTGATGAGAACATACCAGAGAGAGGGAGTGACAGGCACAGCAGGGGACGGGAGCCCACCCAGTCAGTGTGCATCCAGCTGGACCATCAGAACGTACGCATTCCAGTCCTCAGCACAGCCAGGGAAGACACCCCAAGTCCATCCTCTTCCTTTAGCTTGAGCACTCCACGCTCACCAAGCAACCTTCCAACCTGACGTCCAGGGACCCCAATATCTGAGTGTGGGATGCCTTGGACACTGGGCCTGAGTATTCTTGTCTTTAGGAAAGAACAACATGACCCCAATGTGTCTAAATAAACCAGCAAACCAATTTGCATCTCAGCGTCTGTGGTTTGGGCAAACATTTATCTGTTGCCGAGAAACGTCTGACTATCTCTGGGGTCAACTAAGAATATCCAGTTTGTGAATCTGAAAGGCTAGGGACCAAACCTGGGTCCAAGAGGCCCAGTCCAGCGGGGGTGGTCAACCCACACTCTCTCTCGCTGACTTCTACAGTATACAGTTAGCATCTGCTGAATGAGTGAATGAATGAACGCACAAATAAAAACTGAGGAAAAAAGCACCATAAATCCTAAACCAAACTTTGTAATTCAGCACCCAAAAAGACAACTAAGTTGTCTGTCTGGCCCCCATGAAGAAGTAATGTGTGGAGCCAGCCCCATGGCATAGTGGTTAAGTTCAGTATATTCCACTTTGGCAGCCCAGGTTCACGGGTTCGGATCCCAGGCGTGGACCTACACCACTCGTCAGCCACACTGTGGCAGCAACTCAAACACAAAATAGATTGAGACTGGCACGGATGTTATCTCAGGGCTAAACTTCCTCAAGCAAAAAATAAGGAAGACTGGCAACAGATGTTAACTCAGGGCTAAACTTCTTCAGCCAAAAAAAAAAAAAAAAAGTTGTTATTTTTTTTTACTTAGTCATTAGTCACCTAAAAATCAGGAGTTTTCACATGGAAATCTGAATTTCTGACTTGACTTTTAAAAATTCAAGCAATCTGGCAACCCTGAGTCTGTCTTCCCATGGGGCTGTGAGGAGCTAGGGCTGAGTGTAGCGGCCTCCTCTACATGGACCATGCCCTCTCCAGTTCACCACAGTCCTCACCACTCCCTACTGTCCAGCCTCCCTCAGCCTTTCACACTGCTCTTCTGGTTCACAGGCAGTGGTTTGAGAGCCCTGGCCTAGATCATAACCACCCCCTGCTAGGCAAAAGATGCACCAAATCCCTGGTTTTCCAACTTTATTTTGCCACAAAATCCCCATCTCAACATGTCCGCTAGATAACGGATAAGCTGTGTCAGTTAAGATGTGAATTAGGAGAGTTCCAGAGCCCCCAACCCCCAGCCCCCCTGCCCAGCCCATTCCTAGCAGTCTCGGGGGCACCACATACTGAACACAGTGTGAAAAAACCCACGAGTAAAACATGTTCCGAGTCTCACCAGCAATCCCCGTAACCGGAACTTGCCCTCTTCATCCGTCACGGTGTCCTCTCCGTAAATACTACAGTCGTTCTGTCCCACGGCTTCCACGGCAACACCCTGTTCTGGTTCTCCGTTCAAGGAAGAGACTGTACCGTAGCAGCTAGAGGGACAAGAGGAGAAACAGAACACAGTATTCTCCTGGTTCTCTGAGGCACACAAAGGATTTCAGCTCAAGTGTCCTGCGTTTACCCAGAACTGATGGTACAAAATAGCTCCGTGGAGAATTGTGCCCCATTGACCCAAGCAGTCTCGTTCTAGCTGTCTCATCTGCAAATCCAGCCTCCCTGGCCGAAGGCTCAGGCCAGACAGCAGGCTGGCATCCATTTCCTTCTCCTAAAGGACGCTCCAGAAAATTGTAATGAAAAAAGGCTAAGCTTTATTTTATTCCACTGTATCTTATTTTTGTTAAGCTTTATTTTAAATAAGGAAGCATTCGATAAAATGCAAATAAGTCACTTTCTCTTTCATTCCACATATTCAGTTGAAAATGGTCCATTTTTCTAAACCCACTCCTTCTGATTAATCAAGCTTCATCTCAAATGTTTTTGTATAAGTGTACAAATATACATACGTGTGTGTCTGTGTATAAATATAAATATAGCTGTGTAATATTACGACAGCTAATATATAGTATATCATATATATTTGCATAAACCATCTCTGGAAGCATCTAGAAACAGTGGAAAACCAGGCTGGCTGGGAGACAAGGACAGGAGGGAAACTTTACATTCTATACTCCTCTCAAAATTCTGATGTTTTACTCAAGTGAATGCATTTCCTCCTTTTAAAAATGTAATTCAAGTTTCAAACTTTTTTAAAAACAAAATTTTTAAGCAACTAAATAGGCTCTCAGGCCAACTTCAAAACAAGAACTTCTGGGCCGGCCCCATGGCTTAGCGGTTAAGTGCGCGCGCTCTGCTACTGGCAGCCCGGGTTCGGATCCCGGGTGCGCACTGATGCACCGCTTCTCCGGCCATGCTGAGGCCGCGTCCCACATACAGCAACTAGAAGGATGTGCAACTACGACATACAACTATCTACTGGGGCTTTGGGAGAAAAAGGAGGAGGATTGGCAATAGATGTTAGCTCAGAGCCGGTCTTCCTCAGCAAAAAGAGGAGGATTAGCACGGATGTTAGCTCAGGGCTGATCTTCCTCACATACATACATACATACATAAATAAATAAATAAAACAAGACCTTTATGAATGAATCACCACTCTGAGATATTAGAAAAAAAGGGCAGCAAAAATCTTTGGACTGCCTATCTTACCTCCTTGGCCTCCCAAATAAAACCCAGAGGAAGGCTGGGAGGGGTTTCTCAATAAGAGCAGGGAGAGTGAGTCCGCGGCCCAGGCCTGGAGGGGTGGCCGGTACCTGTAGGCCGTGCGGTACCCGGTGACAGTGATCTTCAGGTTCTGCCCCTCCTGCACCTCAATCATCTGTGAGGATGGCTCGAACCGGAACTCCTTCATCATCGGTTTGAAGTAGTACTGGCCAGGACTCTGCCGAGACAACCACAAATGGAGCCTCTGCTGTCACATCTAGGCATGGCTTAAAAGGGGGTGACAGGGGCCAGCCTGGCAGTGTAGCGGTTAAGTTCACGCACTCTGCTTCAGCGACCCAAGGCCCGCGGGTTCAGATCCCGGGCACGGACACATGCACCATTCATCAAGCCATGCTGTGGCAGCGTCCCACACATAAAATAGAGGAAGATGGGCACAGACGTTAGCTCAGGGCCAATCTTCCTCACAAAAAAAAACAAGGCAGGTTACAAAGCCCTGACAGACTAGAATTGTGCAACAAGAGCCTCTTAGACAGACAGAGATGGTAACGCTAACTCTACAATAAATAGTTACAGTAACAGCAATTACCATTCTAATAGCAGCCTCATTATCACGTGCCTACAATAACTCTGTGAGGTAAAAATCATATTTGAATTTTACAAATGAAGAAACAGAGGCTCAGAGAGGTGAAGTAACTTGCCGGAGATGACACAGCAAGTCAGGAGCAGGCGGAAGATTCGAACCTGGAGGTGCCTCACTGCACAGTGTGTGATCTTTCAGTTGTATCTCACTGCCTGTTTGCAACATCCCTCTAACAGTCACTCTACTCCCAGGACTGACAAGATGGCCAATTAACGTGCACTTCCTGAATCCCCATAAGGCAGGGGCTCAGAGGACATCTCGAATGAATAATTGGTGCTACCCTCCCACCACGTGGAGCCTGCTTTGCAGAAGAAACACAAGCTAACCGCCGAACAAGACTCAACAATATAAACAACGTGATCCTGTGGTCAAAGGGACAGCTAAGACGGGAGCTGCTGCGGCCGGGGTAATTAATTACATCGTCTTATGACAGGAGGGAGACCAGAAACAAGAAGTGCGTGCGGAAGGGAGCATGAATCAGCAGCATTAAGCTCTAGTAAGAGCAACACTCTAATTACACTTGGTCCCCAAGAAACTCAAAACCCTCCACGCTGTGTTCTGTTCTCACGTTGTCAAGCAACACACAAGTCACGCACGCTGTCCCTGCTCTCTCGTGGGGAGACAGGCAGGTAGGGGTAAGTGACAGGACACCTTACCAGGTTTGAGAAGGTCAGGATGCCATTGTCCTGAGTCAAGAGGTTGGAACGGAACACGCCACCGCTGAGGGATAAGAGGACGCCAGGGAGGGGCTGCTCATCTTCAGCTTTTATCTGGGGGTGAGAGAGGACACCAGAGCCAGGTTCACACACGTTAACCGGGAAGATAATACTGCACAAGTCAAGGGGTCATTCACACGGGGGACTGCTGTTCCTTGGGGAACAAAGGTCTACGCTTCATCCCCAGGAGGAACTAATGTTAATAGTTTGGTGTGGTCTTCCAGACCTGTTTCTACGCCCACAAGGCTTCTAAACGTCACGGCTACTGTTGACAGACTGGCGAGTCTACTGGGGTGCGGGTGCAGGATGTGAAACCAGAAGGGCAGCTGCTCCACGGTCCTGCACCCCGCCTTCTTCCCTCACCCACTTGTCCTGGCTTTCCTCTTCTCTCAGCCCACAGAGCTCGACCCACTGCTTCTTAAAAGACACCTATCACTCTACAGCAGAAGCTGGCGACCGCTGGCACGCAGGCCGGCCACCTACTTTTGTGATGGAGAAGGAGAGACCATCTAAATGTCCCTGAACGTGTATATTGTGTGCATATGTTTTTCTCTTTTTCTGAACAATCTACTCCTAGGAGTAGAATTGTTGGATATGTGCACTTTCAATTCAGAGAGACACCACCAAATTACACTCCGAAGTGGCTGTAACCACTGACAATTCCATAAATCTATGTATGGGAAAACACTCTCCAAAAAATGGATATGGTCTTAATTATTGCAAATGTAACCCAAAACCCAGTGTTTTGATAGTAACTTCCTCTGCATTTCCTCAGTCACTACTGAGGTGGGGCATTTCTTCTGTGTTTATGAGTCACTTGTGTTACTTCTGTAAATTGCCTTTTCCTATCCTTTCTTCATCTTTTCTCTATTGGGTTGTCTTTTTCTTATCAATTTCAGGAGTTCCTTATAACTGGGGATATTAATTATGGTACGAATATTTCTTCCCAGTTTGAATATCTTTCTTGGCTTAAAATGTATTCTGCATATAGACTTTTAATTTTTTATGTGATGTCATCTGGTTTTCCTTGGGCCTCTAGGCTGAAAACATTCACCCTCAAGGATCACCAGACTCCCTCTGTCCATCACACAGCATACTTCTTCTCAAAAAGGACTGAGGGAAGAGGAACACAGGAACATTCTGCGTCCTTCAACACAGAACAGAGTTAAGGAGAAAGCTTAAAACACTTTCCAAAAGGTATGCAAACAAGCTAAAGTTAACAGATCTCCAAATTACGCTGAGTGAAAGAAGCCAGACAGAAAAAGAGTAATCCTGCATGATTCCATTTATATAAAACTCTAGAAAATGCAAACTATTCTATACTCCGAGAAAGTAGATCAGATGCGGGGGCAGGGGTGAAAGGAAGGGATCACCAAGGGGTGTGAGGAAACTTGGGGGGTGACGGATGTGTCACTATTTTGATTGTGGTGGTGTTTTCATGGGTGTGTTCCTATCAAATTATACACTTTATGTGCAGTTTATTGTACGTCAATTATATCTCAATAAACCTGCTTTTTAAAAACATACAGTGTTACCTCAAAGCTCACGCCTGCCAAGGCATAAGCCTTAAAGTCTCCTATGGTTCCTTCCACCGCAGTCAAGACGTAGCCCTCCTTCTGCGAGGACACGGTGTATTCCAGGTCGCTGTGCAGAGGCCCAACACTGAACAAAAGAAAGCAAGCGCTAGAGACAGCTTTGCTTCCGATCCTGGAGGAGGCACCCCCTACCCCCAAGGAAATCCGGGCTCCCCAATTTCTTTACTGGGCCCCCTCCTTGGTCCCAAGCAAACACTTTTTAATCATGGGCCTACCTGTAGGCTCCTTTGTCATCAGTAAAGACTGTGATCAGGGGTGAACTTGCCCCCTTTTCACTGATGACAATCTCAACTCCTTCCAGCTCTGGGTGGATCTGGCCTTCTAGAAATAAGCCTGCTTTCCCATGGATCTCGATCAGCTTCCCTGGGCAGCTTTCTAAACAGGGACGAAAAAAACAGGAAAATAGGACTTAGCTGCAGAGAGAGGTGGGCCTTCTGGTCGGGGGCTTCCCATTAAAGGGCCTACAACTGACATATTTGAAGCTAGCCTCCAAATGAGGTTGTTGAATGTACCAGAAACCTCGATAACTGGAAGTGGCCCAAGCCTCGCTCCGCCCCTGACAGGCCTTGATCAATGGCCAAGAATGTCAGCAGGTCCTCCTCACAAGGGCTGGGTTTTCACTACTCCTCTCCTCGGTCCTCACAAGGCCACAGAGGAGGAGAGCAGCCTTGACCACAGATAAGAGGCTGTGCTCCTCGACTCGGAGGACCCAACACGGAAGACCGTCCCCAACACACCGCCCACTGGAAAGCCACACTCTTCAACACACTCCTTTCAAACACGAACCACCCACAACGCCAGGAAAAAACGACGGGTAGCCTAAAGGCAAATATTCCACCAGGAATCACTTCTAATTACCCAGTCCCAAAAACACCCTCCCATCACCCCTACCAAAAATTACAAACGTAACGGACAGTTCAGACATATGAAGACATTTCAGACATTAAGGCAATTGCTGGCTTCGCTTTTCACCTGCCTTTTGGTGTCAACCTGGTGATGTCAAGGAAAACCAAGTCCTTTTCCCAAAGCGATCATCCCAATCCTAATAGCGAAAGTTACTTTCCTTGATTTAGACCTTTCATTCATTCATGCATCATTCATTCATCAAATAGTCACGTCTATGTGCCAAAGGGGATTGAAGGTGCTTACACAGACGGTTTCACTATAACAGCCACACAGAACAGATGTTTACATGCAGCTCAGGGAGCAGCTGCAAAGGTGTGCCATTGGCTCAGTGAGTGACATGTACCTCCGCTGACGGTGGCTTCCATGGAAGGAGGATAAAAGAGCAGCTCCTTGGACGAGGGTGTGACAGTGATTTTCTCTCCAGACCTAAAACAATAAGAATACTTGAGTCCGGCCGGTTCTGTCCCTCCATTAGGAAGACTATCAGAACAGAGGACACTGCAGAGAAAGGCCCAGGGGAGCTTACCGTGCCCAGTAAGAGAAGTCGTAGGAGAAGGGGCCTTGTAACTCGTCCACCATCTCCTGTCCGGGCGGTTTGGTCCTCTCCTCTCCGCCTTCCTCTTGGCCGTTCTTCTCTCTCTCCTGCCTGCGGCTCTCAATCTCGGCCAGCTGCTGCTCCCTCCGCAGCTCCTGCACAGACTTCAGAGGGCCGAGGACCAAGGCGGGCTCGCTGTCAATGGAAGACCTGGAGGAAAGGAAGGAGCAGCCCAGAGGATGCGGTCACTTATCCCCGTAGTCGGTGGGAAGCCGACTCTTCTGCAGGTAGTGATCCATAAGTAAACAACCAGACACCTTATAACGCCACCACAGGGGCCGAGTCTTCCGCTGTTTTGAATCAACTAATAGTTTTAAAAAATAAAAACTGAACTTCTCCGTGATGGTAGCACTATCTGGTAGACCTGGGCTGGGATGCAATACCACTGGCTTTATGTTGACTTGAAAACTCATCCGATTTCCCAAGGACATGGGGTTCTCTCTCACGTCACCACCTTGCCCTTCATTAGATCTTTATTGAGAACACGCTCTGCTAGAGAGCCAGGCACAACAGGACAGACAACATGCCCTAACCCTGCGGAATCCACTTTCTAGAAAAATGATGTCAGATGATGAGTACAATGAAGAAAAATAAAGCAGGGTGGAAGGACAGAGGGCCGGGGGCACCATTTTGTATTAGGGGGTCAGCCAAGACCTTTCTGATGAGGTGACCCTGAGCAGAGACCTGAAGGAAGGGCAAGAGCGAGCCGTGCAGCTCTCTGGATGAGGAGTGTCTCAGGCAAGAGGATGGCACGTACAAAGTCCTGGGGGCTGTGGAGGGAGCGGCCTCAGCGTGCTCAAGGGACAGACAGCAAGGAGACCGAGGCAGCCTGGGCAGAGGGACCCAGGATGAGTCAGAGCAGCCTGAGGGGTCTCGGGGGGAGCAGGTGTCGGACCAGGGCTTTGCAGATCTTGGTGCAGACCCTGGATTTCATGCTGAGAGGGATGGAAAGCCACCGGAGTTTTAAGGAGAGGAACGATCTGATCCCTACTATACAAGGTCACTGGCTTCTGCATGGAGAATACACTGCCAGGAGGCAACAGCCCAAAGAGGGAGGCCAGACAGGAAGCCGCAGCAATGATCCAGGCAAGAGACAACGGTGGGTCAGACCCAAGTAGGGGGCTGAAGTGTTAAGAAGGGACTAGATGATGGCCATATTTCAATTGTAAAGCCAAGGATTTGTAAATGGATTGGTTGGGTATGGGATGCAAGACACAGAAGAGTCAACGACGAACTAGAAAGATGGAGCCACCACTTCTGGAACAGGGAGACTGCAGAGCAGGTTTGTGGAGGGCGGTAACTAGGAGTCCGGTTTTGGATCTGGTGAGTATGAGACCCCATTAGGGATCCAGGCAGCCACGCCCAGCTGGAAGATGCATTTCATACAATCCCTAGCACAAGCAAACAAAACAAAAACCTTTCTGAGGTCACAAAAGTGAATTTAATAAAGGCTGAAAATAAGGTAATATGGAGTCACTACTGCTAAGAATCAGAATTTCTAGTCATATCAGTAATTCATACTTTCCAAGCAGGATAATAGCAAAAGACTGCTCCGGCACTGAGCACAGTACTGGGCCAATGAGAGACACTCAACAAATCCCTCCCCTAGAAACCTGGCTCCCCTAGGCAACGGGGCACTCCCATCAATCCAGTCTCTTCAGGCAGAAACCAAGGCTGTCCCTGACAGTTCTCCCTCCCTGACCACATGTGGTCAGTCTACTGCCAAGTCCCATCAACCCGGTCTCCTCCACAACTCTCCAATCTGTCCACTTCTCTCCAACCCCACTGCCATCAGTCTGGCTGAAGCCCCTTCATCTCTCACTCCTGCAAGAGCCTCTGACCCTGCCTCAATCGACTTCCACTCCTGGGCTCCTTCTCTCTGTTCTCCACTCAGCAGCACGGGGACCTTTTGGAAACAAAAAAAGTCATCCTTCTACTCAAAATGTGTCATAGTGTCCATGGGACAAAGCTAAGAGCCTTAACATGGGCTGGCCCCCATCAGCCTACCTCTCCTGCATACCCCCAACCCTACAAGGTCAAATTCAAAGCACTGACCACAGGCATAATTTTACAGCTGTGTGTGTGACTCTTGGACTACTGTCTGCCTCCCCCATGAGACTAAATTCCACGAGGGGCAGTGGCCTAAACATTGAAGATTCTCGATAAATATTTTCTGCATGGATGGATGGGTGGAAGGTAGTGGACAGAAAGATGGAGACAGCTGGAAAAGCAACTTCAGCTAAGGTAAGGAGGGATAAAGTTCTCAGACTTCCATTCTATTAGACCAAGACGGTCATGTTGCCAAAACTCTCTCACTTCTCAAGAAAGTTAGGGTGTCAGATGCACCTCATCACCCTGCAAAAATTCCTCTTAGGCAACATTCACAGGAACTCGACCCTCAGGGAGGGACTGCCTTTCCTATAGCATCTCTTCCATGACCATTCTTATATCAGGTGCCATCTCTATTTCCCAAGCCTTCGAGAAAAGGTCTAAAGAAAAATAGGTAATTTTTTTGAATTTGCTAAAACACTTGAAATACAGTGAACAAACTAGAGAATTTTTTTTTCCTTAGCAAAAACAGGAAGCATAAACAGTTCACACAGAAATTTAAGACACAGAAACGAGCTGTCAGAAGGCCCTTCCTCACCCACAGTTAATTCCTGCACCCTAAAAGGAAAGGATCAAGGCCGCAGTGAATTTATGGCTATGTCATGTAAGCATAAGAGGGAAGACCATTTGTACACACACCTAGAGACAGAAATCAAAAATAACTTTCAGAGCGTCCACTAGGGAAGTCCCCGGGCCTCGTCCACACCCTCCCCTCTCAGCCCACCACAGACTTACTTGATGGTCACGGTGACATCCATCATCTTGTCAGTGGTGATAGTTCCCAGGACGTGGTGGCGAATGGCTGTCAACGTCAAGATACTGGGTGAAGACCTGCAAATCAAGGAAGCGAAAGAAAACACTGGCAATATCACCTAGTCCTTCTCAAAGGACCACAAACAACACCCTTACGGGAGACCTTCCTGACCCTGAAATATACTACATGAAATTGCTCTTAGTTTGGGACAAAACAACTCCTGAAATACACTCACTCTCCTGCACAGAAGGCGCACAGACGCCACAGGGGACCGTTCAGGGGGCTTACGTGTCGTAGGTGTAGAAGGCTTGTTCAAACCGGTGGCAGGAGCGAGGGGTCACCTTGTACACGCCTGCAGCCAGGAAATCAGAAGTAATTTTCAGAGAAGGGCATCTATCACGCTTAGCAATTCCAACATTTGAAATCCAAAGGCAGCACCTCTCACTTGAAGACTCACAACATATTGCAGACGTGCAATCATGGGGTCGGAAATGCCTTTTCCACTGCCTACGGGGGCCTTTTTACCAATGACCCAAGCCACTTAACGGCCCACTCACAAGTTCAGGATTTTCACTTCCACAATTTAACAACTCATCATAGTTTAATCTGCACAGATCAAGCTAACAGACACGTGTGCAGACACAGGAAGGACATTTCTACTGCAAATCAGACTGAGAATTTTCTATTTAGATTCTGTTAAAGAACCAAAAGATAACCACAGCCTGAGCTCCTTCCTATAAATATTCCTAAGAAGGGACGGGGTATGGGAAGGCCCAGAAAATTACGAAACAATCACAGAAGACACTTTTCCGCCATGAGCCTACATAAGGTCACACTCAGATTAGGGGCATGTGCCGTCATTTGCCAGAAAAATATGGTCAATTTCAGGAAGGAGCGAAGTCTAACAACATATTCCCCCAAGTGATCGTTAACCAATATTTCAGCCATACTTCCTACAAAAACCTGAAATCAGTTCAAATTGCCTCTGCTGTTCTCATCACACTGAGCAAGCCCCAGTGTGGCTACCATCAGAAAAAAACGATTAGGTGTCTCCATTCATTTTGTTTGTTCTTTCATTTGATGAAGAGTGACAGAGCACCAGCACATACTTCAGGCCAGGTGCTGCGCTAGGTAACCAAATAGATATGGTCCCTGCCTCATGGGGCTTCCTGTCCACAGAGAGAGAGAGAAGCGTTTGACAGCCACAGCAGACCAGCTATGACGAGTGCAGTCAGGGCAAGAACTGCGTGCGCTGAGCAGAGCGTAACAGGGAGATCTACACGACACTGGAGGCCCTCCTCCCCTGGGGAAGTAGCACGTGAACCAAGAAGTGACAGGTAGGAAGGCACGGCTGGGGGGAGTGGCTGTGAGGGGCAGAGGCAACGCTCAAGCAGAGAACAGCATCTGAGCCATGGACTTGCTCGCTGCTTCCCCACCAGCTGCCCATCCCTCCTTCCTTGACACCAGACCTGGGTTATGTTCAGGGTGCCCGTGTGCCCAACCTCGGCAACAGAGCCAACTGTCCCAGCCTCCCTTGCAGCTAGAAGTGACCACGTGACACGTCTGTCCAATAAGACATAAGGAAGTTTACTGGAGGAAGGCAGGCATGGAAAACGTCTTCCTGCTTTAAACATAACGGTTTTCTGAGGCAACAGTAGCCATCTTGAAAACACAGGTGGAAAATACAAGGTAAGGGCTAAAAGAATCACAAAGACTCCAACCCCATCATCTACCAGGGGCTGAGCCCGCACTGTTAGCCACAGGCTGCCAGACCTCATCACTGAGCCAAATTAACCCCTACTTGTTGATGACGCCCATGTACAGATCCTGTTACTTGCAGCCCAAGACATCATAACTGAAACACAGGAGGACAGAGCAGCCGGAGTGGAGAGAGTGGCAGACGGGGCTGGATTATACAGGAGCTCAAGGTCAGGCTAAGGATTTTGTACTTTATCTTGAGAAGCACGTCACTGAATTACTCATCAGGAAAATGCAAAATAAAACCCTCACAAGCTACTACTTTACACCCACCAGGATGGCCAAAACCAAAACACAGACAGTACCAACTGTTGGTGAAGATGCGGAAAAACAGGAACCCTGTGCACTGCTGGTGGGAATATCAAATGGTACACACAGACTCTTCGGAAAACAATTTGGCAGTTTCCTAAAAAACTAAACATAAATTTACCATATTATCCAGCAATTCCATTCCTACGTATCTACGCAAGAAAAATGAAAACAGATGTCGACACAAAGACTTGTACACAAATGTTCATAGCGACACTATTCATAATAGCCAAAAACCGGAAATATCCACCAACTCAAATATCCACCACCTGGTGAATGGAGACACAAAATGGGATCTATCCATGCAATGGAACACTATCAGTAATAAAAAGGAACAAACTACTAATACCTGCTATGACATGAACTCTGAAACCTTATCAACTTCAAAAGCATTATGTTAAATGAAAGGAGCCAGACAAAATACCAGTATAGTATGACTTCATTTATATGAAACCTCCAAAAGAGGCAAATCCATAGAGACAGAAAATAGATGAGCTGGACCTGGAATGGAGATTAACCCTAAACATGCATGAAGGTTACTACTGGGATGATGAAAACGTTCTAAACTGGATTACAGCGATGGTTGTACAACTTGGTAAATTTACTAAAAATTGTCATGTTGTACATTTTAAATGGGTGAATTTTATGGTCTGCAAACTGCATCTCAATAAAGTTGTTAAAGGAGAAAGAAGCCACTGAAGTATTTTAAGGAAGCTGGGAGATGATCCAATTTTTATTTTAAAAAGAGCACTCTTGAGAAATCACTGGCCAATGGTGTACTATTTTTCAGGGTAAAGGGGCCCAGCGGTCTCTACCCAACTCAAACCCAGGAGACCAGGAACGGTTTCCAGTCTCCAGCTCTAATTCTTTGGATAAAAACAATGCTTCCTCCAGAGGAAAGAAATGGAAAAACAAAAGCCCAAAAGTCCGCTAACCACAACCAAAATTGATAGCTTGATGCAAATAGAATTGAAGTAGGAAAAAGGCCTTTCAAACCATCCTCTGGTGCCTTTCCATTTCCCTAACTCGTAGCACATCAATCCTTCCAGACTCACCAGGCTTGGACAGGCAGAATCGGTTGACTCCTTTGGAGAGGTTATAAATTCCCACATTCTCAGGTCCATTTCCATCCTGATAAAATTCCTGAGGGACCAAAACCAATACAATGACTTACTAGAGGAGACGGAGACACAGATGATGAATAATATTTCTGTTTCTGAACCAGTCATCTGTTTTGCCCATTAATCATTTGAGCAGTTGGGTGCCACAGGAAAATTAAAAACCTTCAGAAACTTCCAACAAAAACGTGCTCTTTTCCATTCAATCAACTAATATTTATTGAGCTCCTGCTACATGACAGACCCAAGGCTGGGCCTTGGCTGCTGACACGGCTCCTGTGCTCAGGGGGCTTACACTCTAAAATGGGAAGACAGAAAATCAACGTGGTCAACAAAGAAATGAATAGATTTCAACTAGTGCGTAACAGAGCCGTGAGGAAATAAACAGGCAGGCAGGATACAGAGTGGCCATCACGGAGGATTCTGCAGCTTGCTGGTCGCAAGGCAGGCCTCTCGGAGGAGGCAACATTAGGCTGCAGCCTAAATGATGAGAAAAAACCCACTGTCCACATTTCTGGAGAAGGTGCAGCATTCCAGGCTGAAGGAAGAGCATGTGCAAAGGCCCAGAGGAGGGAACGAGCGTGGTGTGGGACTGCAGAAGGCCTGTGTGCCGGGCCCAGGGAGCGAGGCGGAGAGTGGAGGGAGGTAGGGTGGGAGTAAGGAAGGGCCTTGCTGGCCATCGTTAAGGAATGTGGATCTTATTCTAAGGGAAACAGAAATCCACTGGAAAGGTTAAATGTCAATCACTTATTCTCAACTGGATATTAATAAAACCACCTCCCGGAACAAAGCTGTTCATTGAGGCTTTGTAGTTAGGAAGTCGATTGGCACTGGAAACACCAGTCTCAATTTCTCCAGTGTCTCTCACAAGCAGTCACTTAACTGCCATTTGCCTCGGTTTCTCCACTGGGACCTGACAATGACATTTACCTTTGCTTGAAGTAAAAAATTATACGAAATTCATGAATGGACCTATACAGGTCTACTGAGGTGTCCCCTTTCCTGAAATCCATTTGGTACACTGCCTATCAGGCCACGGAGACTCCTCAACAAGAGAATAAGACCCTAACAGCCCTGTCCTCTGCACCGGAATAAATATGCTGGAGAAATTGACTCAGCCACATCTGTTCATAAATTATAGCGGTATACGCCAAGGAAATTCTAAATATGTACGAGCTTTACTTAAACCTCACTAGGACCCTGAGAAGTAGATATTATGATCCCAATTTTAGAGGAGAAAACTGAGGCTTGGAAACATTAAATGAACTTGCCCAAGGCAACAAAATCCACGTGCTCTGCACTACATCAGTGGCTTTCCCAAATCACCAACGTTAGAAGTGCACGTGGTGCCCGGACAAGGAATCTCCCAAATAAAGGCATCTTTCCATGAAGGGATTTTACATGCTTCCTGATGATGCCTTCCATAATAGGCAGGTGAGTTGAGGGGCAGAAAAGGGAATCTGACTTGACTCTGGTTATGACATTCTTGGCATGCTAGTCCTTGCTTTCCAAAAGGGCAAGCGTCCTTCCAAATGAGAGAATCCGTACGAGTCACACATACCAGAGTGATGGCATGAGAGAGGGAACATCGCAGCATATAGCCCGTCTGCCTAAACTCAACCGCGGACACATCATCTTCCAGAACTTCCACCTCCAGACTCTTGTTCCTCCAGCACCAGTCTTCGTGCGTGATGCTTACTGGAAAAGCACACGACACAAAGAGCGCATGAGCACACAGCACGCACCTCCCCGAATACCACCAGAAAAAAATTACAGTGAATTAATCTTTAAAAATGTGTATGTGCATACACATACACACACACACACAAATACAGCTAGCAATGCTTGGAACAAGTCACCGCTAAAGAAAAACTGAAACCAGTGGCCACTAAAATCATCAAGAAAGAAATCTAATTGGGCCTATAAATCAGGCTACAAGTAAGATATTCAGGGGTCAGCAAACTTTTTGTGTAATGGGCCAGAGAGAAAATATTTTCACCTTTGCAGGCCTTACACTCTTAACTACTCTACACTGCCTTTGCACCTCACAAGCAGCCATGGACAACACATAAGCCAAGGGGCCTGGCTGTGTTCAAATAAAACTTCATTTATAAAAACAGGCAGCTGCCCTCAGGCCACAGAGTTTGCCAACACCTGATGTAACAGAAAATATAATTCCCCAGAAAAAGCAGTCTACTTTATAAGCTATTCACTGCCAGCAGCCTCAAGGTGAGCTTCTGAAAGAGCAGAAATACAGGCGACGGGTGGCTTCTCGAGAAAGGCAGGGAAAGTAAAACCAAGGTTTGCAAGCACCCACTGCTCCCCAGGCACTGTGCAAGGGGCTTTAGAAACTGTATTTCATTAGTCTTACGTTCTGCAGACAGGTTCTATTCTTCCTATTTTAGAAGGGGAAACTGAGTCTCAGGGAGATCGAGTCACCTGCCACGGTCACAGGGCTGGTAAGTGGGTGAACACAGCAGTGTAACTATTTCACTCTCTCTTTTCCAGCATTCAGCAATAAAATGGCCTGAATGAGGGCACCCTCCCAAAAAAGGAGAGTGTGTGGGCAGTGGCTCACAGAGCCTCAACCCTGCATTATCGCCCGATGCTACATAAATAATGCACGTTCAAGGTCAAGGGGCTAAGAAGAGCTCAACAAGCGAAGGCAGACAGCTGGGACACAGTTTGAGAGCTGGGTTTAGCAGGTTTAGAAAGAGAGGAAGAGTGTGAGGCCGCGAGATGCTGCCTTTGGCTCTCACTTTTGTATTTTCCGGGGAGCACGTTGTCAAACGTGAAAGTCATCGAGTTGACCTTGCCCGAGAGCTGGAGGCTCCGCTTCTCGCCCTGGCGGCTCAGGGACTGCAGGGTCACCAGCAGATCGCCACACGTGTCTGCAGAGAAAAGACGGGAGGGCCGCATGTCTCTGCCCTCATGAACCACAGCACCCGCTCAAACCCTCACCCTCTGCGTGCCGCGTGCCACCCCTCAGCTGCTGAAGGGCTGTGCCAGAAGGGTTCCTTCAAAGCGAATGTGCGTCTACGCACTCTAAGAAGTCACCTCCATGCAAGTCATCAGCACCCAACAACGAAGCCACTGATGACGACAGCGGCCCCATCGGTTACTGAAAAGGGGGGAGAAATTTATGGAGCACCAACAAGAGCCAGAGAAAAAGAGAGGAAGGTGACGAAAGTTTACTGAGTGCCCACTTTATACCAGGCATAGAACTGGGCCCTTTATCATCATCATATTACTAATAATAGCAAAGATTTATTTGGCTTTTGTTGTGTTCCATGTACTTCTAAGGGCCATACATACACTAACTCATCTGATCCTCACAACAACCCCGTGAGGCAGGTACTGTTATCATCTCCATATTACAGATGAGGAACTCAAAGCTCAGAGAGGTTAGTAACTTGCCCCAGGTCACACAGCGAGGGTTCAAGCCCATGTAGTCTGGTTCCAGAGTCTATATTCTTAACATCTGTGCCACACTGCCTCTTGACACAACCACATTTAAGCTTCATTAAAACCCTCTGAAAGTGGCAGTATTCCCATTTTACAGAAGAAAAACTGAGGCTAGGCAAGTAAATGCTTACAGTCTCAGACCTGGTCAGTGACAGAGCTGCGATTAAAACCTGGGCCTAAGTCCATCTTCCTTTCAGAGTCAGGGGGAAAAAGAAACCCATGTGTTCTTTTGGGAGGCAAAGCAGAAACACTCCAAGAGCAACATTTCTGGTGACTTGCTAGGGCAGTTATTCAGAAAGAACTGCGCACAGTACAGACTCCCAACACCACTCCCAGGAGCAGTTTCTGCTTGCGTCAAAAGCTCACCAAAACCCCCCTCTCCCGACCTACTGCTCTGACACGATCTGTTCTTGCTCTCAACGGACATCTTACCCAAACAAGAGACTTTCCCAGAGACTGACGCCAAGAACTGCACAAAGGCCACGTCCAACACCGGCCTGTCAGTGACCTCGAGAGGAAACGTCTGGGGTTTCAGTGTCAGCCCCGCTCTGGTCTCCGCCTCGGGAACCACCACCTGCGGGACGGACACGTGGGAGCGGGTTAGCGGCTGCATCGGGGCTGCTGTTCCCTGGCTTCTGGGGCACCGCGCGTCCTCCTGGGCCCGAGGCTAAATGGATTCTGAAAGGTTCACCTCTAGGCCTAGTTTTATAATCACAACAAATCTGCTAATAGCCTGTGTGGAGAAAACACATTTCTAATCAGACATAAGAAACTGGCCTCCAGCAGGACCACCGTGTGAACAAAAGCGTATCTTCATAACTGTCCACAGAGGCGCCAGCGGTCATCAACTGCCTGCACACTGGGCGGAAATCACCTAGACCCCAGAACCTTCCCCTGGTCAGAGGTCACTCCTGGCGTAGGCTCCAAACTTGTCGATGCTATGTGGATGACCAGTCAGGGTATTAGGCCATTTTCTTCTTCCTCTTCTGCGTGCCTTTCTCAGGCTAACAACAGGGGTGCGGAAGGGGGCGGTGGTTGCCTTTCGCATCCCGTCAAGATTACATTGCGGAACCGCCCTTCCTGGGAAAAGTCCCAACCACACTTCCAAAAGGCCTTCCAAAGGCTTGTCAACATGGCCACCTTTGCAAGAAGCTGGCTGTCTAGTAAAGGAGCTGTCGACCCATGCATCACACTGTTCGGTGGAAGCAGGGAGAATGCTGTCCTCCCACCCATCTCCTCACGGATGGAGGGATCCCACTGGCCCTGGAGGAGAGCGAGTCTTGGAGGAAGCTTCCGGTCCTGTCCTCTCCCCTCACTTGCTCCTCCTCAGGCAGCAGCAGCTGATGGATGGGTGGGGGCCTGAGAGCCATGGAGATGCGGTCTGGCCGTGCAGGGCCACTGAACTGAAAGGCACAGTGGGCTGACCTCTGGTTCTGTCTTCTCTCTTGCCCACCGGCCCCACCTGCACTCAGGCCTTCACCCTGGTGCTGAGACCACGGGCCAGGATCTCCCCAGCGTCTCTGCCTGCCTGGAACGAGACAGCAGATGGTGCCTGCCCGGCCGTCTTCAATTCAGGGGGAGGCGGGACAAGGGAAGCTCCATTCTGGCCTCGAGGTCCAGAACCCATGCGCTGTGGAAGTCAGCGAGCTGCCATTAATAAAGAGTTCACTTCCATCTCCTCTGGGACTCATGAATATTCTACAGCAGCCAGAAGCCTGAGAAGGTGGAGGCATGACTGGCAGCCTGATACTAACCCCTAACAAACATCAGGCCTGGAAAAGAGAGAGGTCTGTGGCATCATTTTTAATTTTTTTTTTTTTTTAAGAAGATTTTATTTATTTTTTCCCCCCAAAGCCACCGGAGATAGTTGTATGTCATAGCCACACATCCTTCTAGTTGCTGTATGTGGGACGCGGCCTCAGCATGGCCAGAGAAGCGGTGTGTCGGTGCGCACCCGGGATCTGAACCCGGGCCACCAGCAGCGGAGCGCGCGCACTTAACCGCTAAGCCACGGGGCCGGCCCATGTGGCATCCTTTTTAAACTGGTTGCCTGTCCATTCTCCTAACTGTGACATGGGGGAATGGAAAGACTTCAAAATAAAAAGTTAGGAATGGAAATGCTCCTTTTCCAACCCCATTCTGGCTCATAATAACCCTTTCAAAAATCACTGCTCTTTTTTAAGTATCATAAACAAAACATCATACCTGGACTTTGTAGGTCCCTGGTTTTGCTTTAAAACAAAATGATCCATGAGCATCAGTCTCCACGGTGACCAAAGACTTGTCCTTGTCTTGAGACGACAGGACAACTTTGTATTTACTCATCTGCTTGACAGCGTCAGGGAAGCGAATGATTGATATCTGGCCACAGACGCTGAACCTGTGAAAAGGGGACCGTTCATTCCAGCATGAGAACTCAATTATAACAGGAAATGCGCTTATCAACCCAAACTTCGCACCCCTCTCCCAGCCCTCGTCCTTGAGACTAGTCCGGTCTGAATGAAGAAACAGGAACACAGCCCAAATGACTCCAGTTTTAAAAAGCAACCTTCAGAAGGAAGATTGGACCTCTTGCTGTATAAGGGAAAAGGCAGAGGGGGGCCCAAGGCTGGGCCGTGTGTTCTGGGTAACACCTAGCAATCCCCCACTGCGGAAGCACTTTTCAGAAAATCTGTAGATGATAAAAACGTTTCAGGTAATTGGATCATTGACAGTGGAGCAGCCTCAGACTGAGAATGTGGACCAGTCCTTAAAAGCAAGAGCTGTAAGCCACCTAAGACACTCTGACATTCCCCAGGCCATAAAACAAGGCGAGGTGCTCAAAGATGCCTGCCTCGCCTGTGATTATATATAATGCTTGCATAAAAGCAATCTGAGAGCCTTGAACAGAAAAGATAATTAGGTAAAAAAAAATGCAAAGCTAAAATTGAACTCCTTCGCAGCTATGAGCCTCAAAAGCAACTTCTAATTGAAAAGCCCTATTACGATAATGACCCAGACTGGAGTCTCTAAACGAGCACTGGGCACAGTGGTGCAGAGCTCACTTCGAGAAGCACAGGAAAGGGGCATCTACTCTCTGATCAAGACCCACTGAGACCATCCTCCGGAGAGCGACAGTCTTCATTTTCTCGTCAGCTGACGTGTTCAAGTGTCATAAGGTACCACGGCTGGAGGCCACAACTGTTTCTTCAGCTGACTAAAGGTTGTATTTTCTAATCTTAAAGAATCATTTTAGATAAAAATTCAGCTGTTACTTTTGACAGAAAGACAATAAAAAATGTTGGATTCGACATTGGATAATTACAGGTATACTAAATGCTGGAACACCCACTCGGCCGCGAACAAACAGCAGCAGGAACCACAAAGTGGGGGAATACTGCACATGTGAAACCTAGGAGAAACGGAATGTAGTTGTTTCTTTAGTGGGAAGAGACTAGCCCGCCACAGGAGCTCACAGTCTGGAGCAGGGGTCAGGGCCCCCTGGCCACCTGTTTTTGTACAGACCAGGAACTAAGGACGGTTTTCACACTTTCAAAGGGTTAAAAGAAAAAAAAAATCAAACGAAGAAGAAAATTTTGTGACACATAAAAAGTATATGAAATTCAAATTTCGGTGTCCATATATAAAGTTTTAACTTGGACAAGCCACACCCATCCATTTACAAATTGTCTGTAGTGGGTTTCGTCACAGAGACCATATGGCCCATGAAGCCCACAATCTTTATTCTCTGGCCGTTCACAGAAGAGTGCGCAAGCCCCTGATGTAGATTAAAAGCATGTTGTTTTGGTCCTGACGCTCCCCTACTCTGCGCTTTCAGAGTCAAAGAACAGGAATGGAATACTGATGGACTACTCTTAAGGACCTTTCAGATTTGCCTCATTTGTGTACATGTCGGGGGAACGTCACCTTATTTGTCCCAAGTTGAACCTCTCTGCCTAAGTTTTAAAGATTTTTATTTATTCAGTTTTTTTCCCCCCAAAGCCCCAGTAGATAGTTGCATGTCATAGGTTCACATCCTTCTAGTTGCTGTACGTGGGACTCGGCCTCGCGTTGGACGGAGAAGCGGTGCCTCGGGGCGCCCCCGGGATCCGAACCCGGGCCGCCAGCATCAGAGCGCGCGCACTTAACCGCTAAGCCACGGAGCCGGCCCTCTCTGCCTAAGTTTTAAACATTTTAACTAGGGCCGGCCTGTGGCTTAGCAGTTAAGTGCGCGCGCTCCGCTGCTGGTGGCCCGGGTTCGGATCCCGGGCGTGCACCGATGCACCGCTTGTCCGGCCATGCTGAGGCCGCGTCCCACGTACAGCAACTAGAAGGATGTGCAACTATGACATACAACTATCTACTGGGGCTTTGGGGGTGGGAAATAAATAAATAAAATTATAAAAAAATAAATAAAAAATAAACATTTTAACCATAAGATGTTTTGGCTCATATTCCCAATTAAAGAAAAGTGTCCACTTACCCCAAATCGCAGATGTGTATTGGTTTAGTTTAAAAAAGTAAACTGAAAAGCTGGTAGGAGGGTGTTTTGTTATACTGAAGCCCTAAACAACTGATTTGCCTCAATACATTCTTTCATCAGGGCTTACTACATTTATGGGTAGAAATGGTAATTATGGTGCATTGTAAAATAACTATATTCTCATAGTGATTTGGACAGAAGTTAAAGAGTTTATTTTTCAAAAAAATTGGGAAATTTTTTTTTAAGTAAGAAATATCAATGAATTAAAAGGCAAATGTGCTATGTTGGCCCAAAAGGAAAATGATAAATTTTTCCAAAGATGTTCAACAAATGTTATTTTTCTTCCTGACCAAAATATTCAACTTTAAGGAAGAAAATAAACAGAAATATAAACATATTTCTCGCCTCTGTGAATAGTACCTCCTCCATCTAGCCAGCTGCTCAATTAAGAAAACTGGGACTCCAACAACACAACGCCGGTTGATTCTCTCTCCCGACTGTCTATCAAAGCCATCTATTCCTTGCTCCCTCCCGTCAGCACTCTGGTCCCAGCCACCACCATATCTCCTCCAGACAACCGTCACAGCCTCCTATCTGGTCCCTCCACTTACACTCTGGCTTCCCTCCGAGCCATTCTCCACATAGCAGCCAGCGAAAACAAAAAGAAAAAACTTTCTAAAATGCCATGACCCACATCGCTCCCTTGCTAAAAACTCTTCAATGGTTTCCCCCTGCATTTGTGGAAAAAAGCCCATCTCCACGACACGGCCACAAGGTCACATAGTTCCCCAACCTCACCAACGTCTCCAGCCACGCTGGCTGTCCTCCCCAGAGCTCCTCTCTCTCCCTCCAGGCCTTGTGACATGCTGTTCCCTCTGCCTGGGAAGTTCTTCACTTGGCTAACCTTTAGTCCTCCCAAAGGTCTCAGTGACCCAGAGAGGGCTTCCACAGCTCCCAATATAAATTAGGTCCTCTCAGAGCACTCCGTCTCTTCCCTACACACCTTCTATAATTTACAAGCACAAGTCTACTCGGCTTACATCTGTCTCTCCAGTAAGATGACAGTCCTGTCTTTGCAATGTTAGTTTGGTTCACTGTTCTACACTGAGCATTTACCACACTGCCTTACCCAGAGGAGTTGCTCAAAAATGTTAGGAAGGGAAGGAGCAGAGCTTAAATCCAAGAATTATATTCTGAAGCCCCATCACAACAGGGACAGGGTACCAGGTCCCAGCAGTGATGTGCCTCCTCATCTCCCACTCGCCACCGAAGCCATGACCTTGATGACCCCACCTATCTACTGAAAACGGTCACCGGGGCCTCTCAGTGACCAAGCCAACGGACTGTGTGTTCAGGGCTCAGCTCCTGGACCTCCCCGACCGTCGAGCACCACCTTATACCTAAAACCCACCGCCCCAGGCTCTGCCGTGGCCACCCCTCAAACAGCGGCATGCCAGCTTTGGTCTACCGATCTTCAATTCTACCCACTCTTACACAGTCAAGGTTCTGGCTGCCACCTGTGGCCAAATCTTCAGGATTTACAATCCATCCAAGCGTCTGTTAGAGAGCTCCACCTAGTGGTCCTACGACCCCCATGGCCCAAACTGACCCCTCAGCACCTAAGTGGCTCCTCTTCCTGCCCACAGCCGGCGGCACCACCACCCTGCTTCTCAAACTGGAAACCCCTAAATATTTTTCCAATCTGTCCTTGATTTCCCCACAAGGCAAGCCCTCAGCAACTCTGTTTTCAGGCCTCCTGTACCCTAGTCTTGTCACATTCAAGGCCATTGTCCTCCATGCCACCACACTGCCACCTCCAGCCACTGTCCTCTACGCCACCAGAGTGCCTCACTGAAAACAAAATCTAACCATGTCACCTCCATGCTCAAAACCGTTCAGTGGCCCCTTGACCCCTAGGGGAGAAAGCCCCCATCTTCCAGTGAGGTATGAAGAGGCCCTGAGATCTGCCCCCTCCGGCCTCGTCACTCTCCTTTGCTGGCCCAGCACTTTCTGCTCCCACAACACCAAGCTCCGTGCTCCCCTCCACACACACTGTTGCACATGCTGCCTGTCTCCAAGTAGACGCTGCCCCTCTCCTTTTAAGTGACTGCTTAGTGAGCACCTACTGCTGCCTCCAGGATGGCAGCATCCCCATGCTACAGAGAGAAAGATCCCAGATCTGACTCCAAGGCCTGGGTTATCTGCACCACAGGATATCAACGCATGATGAAGCCACACAAACTCAACACAGGCTGTCCCCTCACACACCCACAGTCAGTACAACAAAGCAGGAAGAACTATGACAATGACCTGAAGCATCTTATGACCAACTTTCTCAACCACCTACACTATGTCCCAAAGTCTTCAAGAATGAGGCCAAGGCCCTACTGATGTGAAGTCAGACACAAAAGATCTTTTTCTAATTTAAACCCGTTTTAAATTTGAAGCAAGATAATTTTCCTTGAGCATCCAAGATAGAATTTATAAGATTTAGCACTAATTTTTATTAGTTTATAAGATTTACCACTCATCTTTCTAAAGAAGCCAGCCTGAATTTCTCAACAGGTGTCTGAGACTGGATGTGGATACTTGGCAGAAACACACAGTCAGATCGAGGGGCATTTTGTTCTCCGCTGGCTGCCAACATATGCACTGGCACTTTCAGAACCCAACACAGCAGCCTTACCCTGTTGCAATGATGTCAGCCAGCTGAGGGGTGTTAGGTGCGATTTTGATGGTCACCGTTTCAAAGTAGAGGTGCTCCTTCTGAGCATGGATGGTGTACGTCCCCGTTGTTATGTTCTCCAGACGGAATGAGCCGTCAGCCTTCGTTTTGACTGTAAAACGAAACACACCAACGAAAGATGAGCCCAAAACAACTGCGTATCCCTCCATCTACACAAGAACACGTGAGACCAAAAGCTGGCAAAGCTTCACAGAGTCAAGATGTTGCCTCCTTTCCATTTCTCTCTGTGGTCAAAACTAGCACTGGCAAACAGCCCCGGGGCCAACGCGTCTGCCCACCTTTGATGTGGTTATTCAGAGTGACTATGGCTTCCGGAACACCTTCTCCTTCGGGTCCATTCAAGACCCTCCCAGTGACAGAGAATCCCATGACGTGGAACTCGGGCTACAAGAGGAAGAAGAGGGAGAAGGTTCTCGAGTGCTTGAGCCACAAAAGCCTCCCACGTGCCGCTCACGACATCACCCAGCGCGTGTGCCCACACGGGCGTCCCCCAGCCCGGATGCCAGCCAGGCTCCCCCCCAGCTCACCCACACGCGCTGCGCCCCCGCCGGCAGCACCTCCCCCGGGCTGTCTGCTTCCTCGTCTTCCCACCACGCTGATGCGGGTCCAATAATTGAATAATGACGATCCACAGACTCACTTCCCCGTGAGAGCTTCCCCACTCTCGCTCCCTTCCTGCCTCCCTCCTCCTGACGCCCCCATTGTGGTGAACCACGCCACCCTCCAGTCCCCCAAGCTTAAAGCCCAGCATCACGCTGGACCCCACCCACCCCCGCCCCAACATCGATCAGCGCTGTGGAGCCCTGCCCTGTCTTTCCCACCTCGACCTGCACTCAAGTCCTTACTGACTCCACCGGACCACCCTACTCGACCAGCGCTGCACACGCGGCAGCCTTCCAGACGTGGTTTATCGTCTGTGCCCTCCTTGCCGGAGAGCACCACGGCTTTGCCCCCTCCGTAATCACCATGTTCCAGCCACCCTGATCTTTCGGTCCTCAAGCTGACCACATGCACGCACCACACAGATTTCTCACGGGAAGCTTTCACACCAGCTGCTTTCTCGGCCCGGGTCATTCTTCTCCCACATCTGGAGAAGATCTGGGAGGAAGCACTCCTTCTCATCATTCAGGTTTCAGTTCAAACCATCACCACCTCCGAGCAGCTTCCCTGGACTGTCCCATCTCAGTAGCCCCTGCCTCCCACCATGCCAGTCACCGTCCATCACACTAAGTTATCAGCTTCACTGAAGAATTTACCAATATCTGAAATGTCTTTGTTTGACTTCTTATAGTTTGGCTACCTCTCATTGGAATGTAAGCTCCATGAAGACAGGGACCTCTCCTGTCCTAGTCACCTGGTACATAGAAGACCCTCAATAAATGACTTCTGAAGGAATGAACGAATGGATGCCAAGCATACACGCAAGAGCATTTGGGAAAGCTTTAAGAAAAACAAAACGGCTTCCTCTGATTCAGGTAGCCCTTCTTGATCTTTCTAAAAAGATGTGCTTTATCCATTTACTAACTCCTATATTCACTCAACAAATACTGGTATTAGGCACCTACTGTGTGCCAGGCACTAAATCACCTATCAGGAACACAGGAAAGAATACGCCTCTGAACAGTTCCTGACCTCATGCGGCTCACAGGCGGCTCCCTGCAATCCCGTTCCTCTCTGTTTACAAACTTGACTTTGGTTATGATGTGGGGGTGCCTTTCCCCACTCACCTGCCCCATCCTTCTCCGCACGCCCCCTGAAGCAAGGACTTCATCCCCTCAGTCTTCTAGTCCCCATCCCACGCACAGCGCGATAGCCAAATGCTCTACTGCATCTTAAAGAGCAGAGTCAGAACCCCACTGAGCGTGTGACCTGAGAGCCAGCTCCTGCCAGTTTAAGCTGCTTTAACGCAGTACTTTCAAACGTAACATAAAAGAAAACGATTAAAATCTGATTTTTTCAATAACTGTAACACTGGGTGGTCCATTTATGAAAGACTGTTATTTTCTTTTGGGATTTGCTCTATCTAGCAAATATTCTACAGTAACCATTTCCCACTTCTGTAATTAAAGATAGAAATGTGATGAAAAACACATGTGCCATCTATTTTAGGGTCTAGGGAGTCTGTCAGGCCACCTATCACCCCATCCATCACCCCATCTATCACCCCACCATGCGCCAAGCTCTGTCAGCTCTCACCTGGTTTATGCCACAGCCTCCTAACTGGTCTCTCACTTCCATCTTGCCCCCTGCAAACTCTTCTCAACACGGCAGCCAGAGGGATCACACCTCTCCTCTGCTCAGAATTTTCCAGGCCTTGCAGAGTCTGCCCCATCATCTCTCTGACCCTCTCTCCTCTTCCTCCCTTTCCTCCTCCCTCCATTCCAGCCTCCCTGGCTTCCTTGGGGTCCCCCAAACCTTCTAGGCACACTTCTACCTCAGGACCTTTGCACCTGCCATTCCCTGTGTCTTAAACACTCTTCCCACAGATGTAAGCACAGTCCATTGCCTCCCCCGCCTTCAAGTTTTTGCTCAAATGTCACCTTCACAGTGAGGACTTCCCAAGAACACTGTGTAAGACTGTAACCGGTCTCAACCTTGAAACTGTGTAATCTCCTTTCTTGCTTTATTTTTCTAGAGAACACTTAGCACCTTCTAATATACTTTCTAATTTACTTATGTATAAGTATGTTGTCTCTTTCTGCCATTAGAACACGAATTCCACAAGAACAGGAATTTTTGCCTCTTTTTGGTCACTGCACCCACCTCTAGAATAGTACCTGAAACATACATCATTGGCATTCAATAAATATATTTCACTGAATGACGTACATATAACTGGGGCTCCAATTCTCTAAGATGAAGGTATTACATAAGAGAGGTGAGGTAGCTAGTGGATTCCAGGCTAAACTTGAAGAAAGTACAAGATTCTGTTTTTCCAAGAGCACTTCTAGATAAAATATTGATTTTCTTTTAAAAACGTGTTTGCAACACCTGTGCCCAGGCATGGGAAGTCGAACACTGGTCTCTCCGGAAGACAGGGAGGTCTTACCTCAATTTTCAGGCTGTCATGCTCCACTGTAAAGTCAAGTCTGGAAGGAGCGACGTCAAAGGTAATCCTCTCCCCTCTATAGAAGGGAACCTGGAAGGAAGAGTCGGATAATGACGAGGAGCCAATAACATGGTTCAATCAGCAATACGAATAATCGATCCAGCAGCCCCAAATGACAAAGGGCTCCAGGCAGGCCAAGAGAAAAGAAACTACTAGTCACAACCGTTGCGATTTTAAAAGAGGAGGGCCTGCGCTCTCTGCAGCTATTACTGAGGGGTCAGAGTCTCACCTTAAGTAACTACTAAATGAAACGTTCACGAAGCTGGAGCCCAACCGTTATTCCCCTAACACCCAGATGGCAGTGACTCTTCCTGAGTCTAAGAGTCCCGAGCATGGACAGAAGGGAAATCTGCTTCACTCACCACAGTGTAGCCCCCACTGGGCAAGGAATGGAAGGAGAATGAGCCATCTTCTTTGGAGACCACGTAGCACAAATACACCAGACTCTCGTCTTGGGGCTGGAACCCGGGCACAGGCGAGATGTTGCAGCCCAGGACATCCTACGCCAGGAAAAAAAAAAAAAATGACTTCCTTTTCCATTTACATGTTCTGATTATCATCAAATAACCACACGACAGGAAAACTTTTACAAGTTTTATGTCACAAAATACATATTCCTGAAATCTAGGACATATTACTAGAGATAAAAGGAGCAAAAACCTTTCATTCAAGTTGAAAGTTAAAAATGGCAGTCTTCCTGGAGATAACGACATGACTGTCCTTCCCTACAATGGTTCACCATTCTCCAGGTAAGAAAACGGAGGCTCAGGAAGGTGTAGGACTGGCCCAAGGTCACACAGCCAGTCAGAGGCACAGCTGGGATCTATCTGACCCTGGGTCTGATTGATTTCAAAGCCTGTGCACTTTCCACTGAACACCACTGCCTCCCAGCGTAGACATGCAATCTCTTACGAGTCAACTGAGAAACAGAATGCTCTCTATTAAGTGCTGAGACTATAAATCAACCTTGACCTGCATCTTAAACACCACATTCTTTGTGTGTAACCCCCATACTCTGCCCACGATCTCTCTTGTGCTTCTCTTTTCTCTGCTTACCTCTTTGGTTACTAGAGAAGAAAAGAGAAGAAACTTCACCCCTTTCATGGGCTCTCCGTCGCTGCGGACAGAGCCAGACACGTTGTAGCCGGCCACTATGAGGGGACTGGCGGCATTGGCGTTGGAGTTGGTCACTCGCACAGTGGTGCTGGCCTACAGCAGAAGAAGAGCTTAACTTCCAAGAAAGGAAACACTCGCCAAGTGTTTAACAACACAAGGACATGCTGAAGCTAAAATATTAACCGTGAAAAAAGTAACACAAAATTGCTTACATATGATCACGACTATTTTTTAATGCGCAAAATGAAGCAAAAGGGAATGTGGCAAAATGTAAAAAACAATGATTTCATGTAGACGGTGCCATTTCACTTCTTTTACACTTTTCCACCTTCCAAATTTTCTGTTTCCACTACTGTATGTTCCAATTTTTTTAATGAGCATGCTATACTTTTATCCATGTTTAATGGTATACACACAGGTATCTTGAAGCTTTTTGTTAAAGTACACTTTACAGAGAGAAAAGCGTGCATATTCTAAGGATCCACACAGTGATTTTCACCATCTGAACACACCCAGAAACAGAACCAGCAGCCCAGAAGCCCCCTTCACACTCATTTCCATTCACTCCCCCTACAAAGGGCAATCATTATCCTGACTTTTAACAGCATGCTTTACTTGAAAACATAAGTTTATATTAATAAACTCAAATGCCTTCATACATACAATGAACAAAGTAAAACGTATTCTATTTATAATGTGTAAGCTATTGAGTTTGAAGTAAAACATTTCTTAATGTTGCCCTAGAAGAGAAAAATCCTGAAAACCAAAAGTCATAAACAGTATACAGACACATTTAGGGGAAAAACCATACCATCAATTAGAAATGCATAAAACCTACAGAGTAAAAACTGAAACACCAATTCTGACGCTTCTTTAGCAAGAATGAGACAGAGCCTCAAAACTAATGTAAAAGTCGTCAAAATGTTTTTTCACCGTTATTACAGAACCTCACCTAATGTGTTTCTTTTCTGATCTTTTGTCATAAACTATTTCAGTCAAACAAAAAGATATAAAGAAAACTCTAAAGAACACCTATACAGGCTTGAACCAGCTAAAGAAAGAAAAGAGTAGAAACACAATGGAAGACCCTGGGTACCCCAGATCCCCCTCCCCCTCTAAAGACGTCAGCATCTTAATGAATATGGTGTTTGCCATTCCTGTGCTTGTCTATATAATTCCCCTACATAGGACTGTATCCATAAAAGGTATTATCATGAGTGTTTTTAGTTACTATATAAACAGTATCATATTCCTTATCCTTCAGCAACTTGCCTTTTTCCCTCAACTTTGTTTTTAACTGTAGTCATACTGATATATATAGCTCATTATATATATAATGTAGTCATACTGATATATGTAGCTCATTATATATATAACATAGTCATATTGATATACATCCATTCATTATTGCTGACGTACAGAATTCTACTGGGTGATGAAACCACAATCCATTCTCCTCTGAATGGACATTTAGGTTGTCTAAAATATTTTGCTATTACAAACAAAGCTACAATAAACATTCTTATATGTTCTCCTTGGGCACATGTACAACAGTTTCTAGAATGTTAAATGTATTTCAAGATTTCTGGGGCCGGCCCCGTGGCTTAGCGGTTAAGTGCACGCACTCCGCTGCTGGCGGCCCGGGTTCAGATCCCGGGCGCGCACCGACGCACCGCTTCTCCGGCCATGCTGAGGCCGCGTCCCACATACAGCAACTAGAAGGATGTGCAGCTATGACATACAACTATCTACTGGGGCTTTGGGGGAAAAATAAATATAAAAATTAAAAAAATTTTTAAAAAAAGAACATCTTTAAAAAAAAAAAAGATTTCTGTTTCAGAATGAAAAAAGAACAACAGATCAATCAGGTCCTTCTGGTGTCGATTTGGCTTAAAATAACTGTAGTTAATAAAAGACCTATTTCACAGCAAGAAGACAATTTTTCACCTAAAACTGAAACCATAAGCAACATCTGCTACAGGGAGGGAGTTTTACATTATAAATACCACCAAACTAATCATCAGCACCACTGTTTTTTCATCTACTTCTAGAAAAACCATAAACTCATTTCATATCCTGATTAAAATCCCCTATACTTGTCCCCAAACCAGCTCATTGCTGGCACCACTATCAACATACTGAAATGCTCACCTCCTTCAACGCCCAGGTTGGATGAGTGGCAAGGATTTCGTAATCTCCAGGAAGAACTTTAAAAAATGCAAACCTAAGAAATACAAAACACCACTTAACTTTCTCCCAACAACCCGAGGACTTCTAATTCTATGACTAATATTGGAAGCACAAGAAAATAATGTCTCAGTTATCACAAACTTGCCATTAGCTAGTCCAATGAGCATAAACAAAATGCAACCCTTCACTGTACAAACCCACATGGGACAGCACTTATTGAGCACTTAGTGTGTGCAAGGACAGGTGTTCAGTGTGCTGATGGAAAGTGGGGTTTACGCTTCCCTTAACCCCAGGGATTTCAGCCTAGAAACTAGTCACGTGGTTTAGCAGGGATCAGTCACAGAACATTCGAGAGAGTTCTGACAGAGCAATAGGCACATACAGGCAAGGAGAAGGGCAGGGAAGTGCCACAGGACCAGAAGTGGGAAGGGAGGAGCCGTGTGTAGAGAACAGAGAACAGATCAGACAGGCTGAGGCGGACGTAACACAAGATGACACAGGGCAAATGACAAGCTTTGAATCCTACACAACAGAGTTTAAATCTGTTATCAGAAATAAATATAAGCCACCCTGGGTTCTTGGGCAAAGCAACTGTGACAAAACCAGCAGCCGATGAAGTTGACCCAGTAGCTACAGGCAGACCGAGACCAGAGTGGGATGAGCTAAGGCTGGAAAGGCTGCCACCAGGATTCTGACACATTTAACCCGTTAACTTTGCAAAGCACCGGACAAAGAGAGGGCCAATTCTAGTTAAATGAACTACAAAAGGCACTGCATTTCTCCTTCAGTGGTGGTATTTTATTATATCAAGTACTGTCTGTAATAACTGGAGAGGGCTTGGAAACCACTCTGCTGCAATGAAACTAACGTTACTATTGGAATGTGATCTTAGTAAGATTCAGCCTCCACCTCTGCAAGTTCCTGTCGTTGTTTTAGTTAGCGCAGATGAATGAGAGTCAGAAAGGTCAAGTTACTTTTCACAACAAGGTCCACAGCAAACCACCAGCCTAGAGAAAATGAACACTCCACATTCCTTCTAGACCAGGGTTGGGGAGGCATCAATCACATAGGAGTAAATGTTATTCCAAAACTGAAAAATAATTTCAACAATCACTGTTTAAAAATTAGCTGACTTACTGACAGACTCATTATAAACTTCCATTCTGAGGTTCAGTCCATTTTGTATACTGAAGTAGTTAGTAATGATGTGAATGCTTTCAAAATTATCAGGTGGAACTATTCTGGTATTATCTTGGCACATCTGTTAACATTTACAACCCTACAATATAAATCCATTAAATAAATGCTTTAAACTCGACTCAACAAGGTTAATCCAATAGCCATCAGTTCTAACTACAAAACGATTTTGATGTAATAGTGATAAAATGATTTTTAAAAATCATAATTGAGCTGACCTATATCGAGTGAACAGATTCCATATATTAAGCATATATTCCATGCCAGGCAGTTTGAAGCAATAATATTATAATTCAATCTTCCCAATAACCTTAGGAGGTAGGTTCCATGATTATCCTCATTTATAAATAAGGAAACTGAGGCCCAGAGGCCTTAAGTCACCTGCTAGCAAATGGTGGAACCAGGATTCAAAACCAGGGTGTCGGGCTCCAGAGCCAGTCCCAACCGTTAAATGAAGGCCCACTACGTGCCAGGCCCTGCAGTAGGTGCTTTACCTCCTATTTGGGCGTTACCTATTTAATCATCCCATCAATGCCAGATGCAATGGGTCAAGTGACTCCCATTCTACAGAGGAGGAACTTGAGGCCCTGAGGGGCATGAACTTGTCCAAAGTTAAGAGGCCGAATCAGGATTTGAACCCAGGCCTCCCAAACCCAAAGCTGCCCCCGCCCCCATCACAACGCCGCTCTAGCTGTGAGGCAGGCGACCCCGGCGTGACTCACTTTCCACCAGGCTGTGTAACTGTGGACTGGATCTTCGAGTCGGTCCCTGTGTTTCTCAGAGACACCTGGACTCCTGCAGGACCGAGGGGCTGCCCTTTGCTGAGAACCTGCCGTGGAGAAGGAGGTTATGATGCAGGCCACCGCAAAGCTCCCCTCTCAACAGCACTGCCCATCCTGCTCACGCCCCCCACGTGGGGCCTATAACCTTCTCTGGGTCAAGATTCCTTTGAAATGATGACAGAGATCACGGATACCCTTCCCAGGGAGGGCGGAGGGGCTGGGAGAGGAAATAGTAACAGTAAAATCATACTTTGTTTCACTGAATCTAAGCACCATCAGTTAAAGATGCACAATTATTTCACGAAGTATTGAGAAAGAATAAATACCCATGATCCCCATCTAACAAGAAACCCACACACACAGCCGGGACCAAAGGGCCTCGCTCGGCGTAAAGGCAGAGGAGAAAGAAACCCGCCGTGCAGGAAGGACAGCAAGGAGACGCACACATCTCAGCCTGGGCGCTGCAGCGGGCGAGGGAAAGTAACTCCCCAGAGCCCGTCCCTGTAAAAGGCCACGCTGACATCTAGACGCTAACAGCCCCTCCTCCCGCAGGGGAATGACCAGCAACCTAGGTCGGAGCCCTGCAAACACCACTCCCTCTTACACGCCATTTCACTGAGCTCCCAGACTCCCCTGAAGCTTATCCGAGGGTCCCCTGTGGGATCAAAGCCCCAGGTTTAGAAGTCCCGCTTTTCTGAAGGTGAGGGAAGACTTAGTACACACTACAGAGCAAACGTGAGAAAGAACCAATCCTGAAGCCACACCTTTCCATTCACAGAGAAGCCCGTGAACACGAAGTTGATGTCCCCACCCCTGGTGCAGATGTCACTGACGCCGTCCACGTGGAGCTCCACGTTCGTTGGCTCTGAGGAACGAAGTGGGGGGACAGGGGACGAGACACAGAGCAGGTTTAGTTCTGGGATAAGATGGAACTGTCTGGGTAAGACACACTTGATCGGTAAGCTTTTGTTTCATTTATTTTTGAGCACTCAATACACTTGGTTCAAAATCCAAAGGAACGAAAGGTAGGCAGGGAAAGTCTCCCTCCCACCCCTACCCCTGGACACCGGCTCCCCGCCCCAGAGGGAACCAGTGTTTAGAGCGTAACACACTTTATTATAATAGTCTTTCAGCTGAGCTGCACCTCGGAGTCCCAGGGAAAATTCAGGGAGCACCAAAGAGTTGTATTTCCTGAACACTGACCACAGACCAGGCCCTGAGCTAAGCGCACTTAATCCTCACAACCATCTTAAGAGCTAGGTAGGAATAGCCGCAGTTGAACGAGGGGTAAACTGAGGCACGGAAAGGTTAAAGGATCTGCCAAAGTCACAGAGCTTGTGAGTGACAGAGCCCCAATTCAACCCCCACAAGTCTGGCTCCACTTCTGTCCCCTGACCCAGGGCAAGGGTTCAGCCACACCGAACCAGGACCACGAACTCCAACGCCTACGGGAAGCAGCGGGGAAGAAGTGAGCAGACAGGCCAAGTGTGGACTCCAGCAAACGGAGAAAGGAGAAGCCACTACTCAGCTCCGACCAACTCCTGCCACGTGGCCCAGTGCTGCCAGAGCTTCCAACCTCTCGAAAAGACTGGAAATCTGGATTTTATGTGCCATCTCCCAATTTTCCAATATTAACAACTAAGTCTATTTTTTTTTTAAACTGAAGAGTCATTATAACAAGGGTTAAAGTTGAGGTTTGAAAAGGTTAGGAAAAATGCAGAGTGATAAGCAGAGAAAAAATGAGAAAATCAAGAGAATTTCAGGTAAAACGAAGAATTACACACAAACACACAGGGGCAAATGCCAAGAAAAAATGGAGAACAGACTTGAACAGGCACCTCACAAAAGAGAAAATCCAAACGGCCAAATAACATATAAGAAATCTCACTGACCATCAGGGAAATGCAAATCAAAACCACAACGAAACACCACCACATCCCCAGCAGAATGGCTAAAACAGAAAGACTGACCACACCACGTGCTGGCGAGGCTGTGGAGCCCCTGGAACGCTCACTCGCTGCTGGGGGAGCAGAAGGTGCTACGTCTACTCTGGAGGTGTGGCCAGACCTCTAGAGCTGAACGTGTAAAAATCCTATCACTCAGCAACTTCACTCCTGGTACATACTCAACAGAAGTGCAAACCCACGTGAAACAAAAGATATCTGCAAGAATGTGCACGGGAGCACTGCTCTTAGCGGCCGAAATTGGGGAGCCATCCAAACGGCCATCAACAGTGGAAGGGATGAATTGCTTATATTCACACATCAGGATCCTGTACAGCAATTGACAGAACCAGCTAGAGCTACACATGACAACAGATGAATCTCATGCACGACGCTGAGAGAAAGACACCAGACACAAAAATGCACCTTGCATGATTCCATTTATATAAACAGACTGAACTAATCTGTAATTTTAAGGCCCCTGTGGGGTGGGATGGGGTGGGGTGGAGCAGTTAACGAGCGCCTGGGACGGGGCACTCCTGGGGTGCTGGTCAAGTTCTCTCTCATTATCCGTCTGGCAGTTACGTGGCTGCGTTCACCTTGCGAAAATTCATCAAGAGATACCCTTACGATGAGTACACTTTTCTGAAAGTATGTTATAATTCAGTAAAAAAGCTTATCAAAAGAAAAAGCACTGATAGGAGGGAGGGGGCTCAAACAAAACACTCCCACAGGCCGCCCACCTGTAACCTCGGCCTTACCCATCAGTTGGGTTTGCGTCCCCTCCAGCTTTCTGGAAAGCCCAGCCAGGCGTCCCCCGACTACAAAGTGAAAAAGGACTTCTCTCGCAGAGCCAAATCAGCTGTCGGCAACCTGAGCCTCACTCACCCTTCATGGCGGCAGAGGCTCAACTGTTCCTTCTCTAACTCACCAGCAAGGCTGACAGGCACAGTGTGGCCCCCACGCCTTTCCCCAGGCCACAGAACTGGCATCACACACAACTCTTGGATCATGACGTCCAGAGCCTCTGCTCTCCAAAAACGTCAGCCATGTCAAAACAGAACCCTTACTACGGATCTCAACCCCATTCCCACCTCTCCAACTGTGCCAACCGGCAGTTACCTCAGGAAAGTTCGGAGCTTTTGTTCACATGTCTGGAGAAGGACTGCTTTTAAGAATTTACTAATTAATTGCCAATTATGTGCCAGCCATTCTGAACACATAAATACACTGGCCCATTAATCCTCCAGGTAGCCTGTGAGGTGGGGACTATTACTCTGCTGGCTCACTCCCAGGGGGAGTGACTCGTCCAAGGTCGTCAGAGAGCTGGCAAGGCCCAAGGTTGCCAGATCTCTTAAGAGAGGTAGATCTGGACTTTTATGTCAAATCTCACAATGTTTAATGTTGCAGTTAACTCACTAAAAAACAATGGGGTGGGGGGCGGCCCAGTGGCATAGCACTTAAGTTCGAGCGCTCTGCTTCAGCGGCCCGGGGTTGCAGGTTCAGATCCCGGGCACAGACCTACACACAGCTAGACAAGCCAAGAGGAGGACTGGCACCAGACGTTAGCTCAGGGAGAAAGACAGACAGACAGACAGACAGACACTGAGGGGCTAAGAAACAAGCCGTCCTGGGGCAGGAACAAAGTCCCCATTCCTGACCTCTATATACCGTCCTACCGCAAAAGCAGAGCTCCCTGAGAGAGGTACAAAGAAAAGACACCTATTTTAAGAAAGACAGAAAACTGTAAGCAGGTCTAAGGTAAATTCAATCCACTCTAATGTAAAAATGGGGGAAAAAACCCTCTTCCACACTAGAAACGAACACTTAATACAGTCTAGAAAGAGTCTGTAACAGTCAAATTAATATTCAGCATATAATCTAATCCTTTACCGACTACGTCTGCTGATTCAGTTAACTTACCAAAACTCCACCCTAGAGGAGGCTCGATCTTCAGAATGAAATCTCCCTGAAAGAGGGAAAAAATGTAAAGGACTGAGAACTGATGACCCTTCAATTAGTTTAATTTAGTTCAGTGCTATCGTTTAATCTAGAGTTTTTACACCTGAAATGAAATTCCAAGCATAAACTTTGTCCTTGTAAACGGTAGTGAGCTCTTCGATTCCCTTCGGGCTCGACAAGCTGAAGCTGAATGCCAGAAGCTTCCACTTAACCCATCACAGAGTTCTGAAGACACTACCTTTAGCCACTCACTGTCCTTTGGTGCCAGACACACTATTAATGGAGTCTGCTATTAACCCCTCACATGCTAAGGTTCCTGGGGTCAGCGGGCGTCTTCAGGAACAAAAGGCAATTCTTAAAACTAGATTTTACTCACACACCCTGGTTTCTCGAAATAAACCATCTCAAGCTAAAAAAAAAAAACAACAAAAACAGGGCTGGCCCCGTGGCTTAGCGGTTAAGTGCGTGCGCTCTGCTACTGGTGGGCCTGGGTTCGGATCCCGGGTGCACGCTGACGCACCACTTCTCCGGCCATGCTGAGGACGCGTCCCACATACAGCAACTAGAAGGATGTGCAACTATGACATACAACTGTCTACTGGGGCTTCGGGGAAGGAAAAAAGGAGGAGGATTGGCAATAGGTGTTAGCTCAGAGCCAGTCTTCCTCAGCAAAAAGAGGAGGATTAGCATGGATGTTAGCTCAGGGCTGATCTTCCTCACCAAAAAAAAAAAAAAAAAAAAAAAAAGATTTCAAGACCCAGCTAGTTCACCCCTGGAAATCAATCCTATGTATTGTGCATAAAGACGTAAGTTTGAGAATATTCATTGCTGTGTTGTTAGTAATAATAATTTAAAAAATTAGGAAAAGCCTCTATGTCTATCAATAGAGAAGTGGTGAAATAAATTAGTTGTGGTTTGACTCTGACATACTACGCAGCCGTTAAAAGGAAGGCGGTGGATCTATACATGCTGATATTGAAAGTGTGCCAAGATATTACCATAGGGAAAAAAATCAAATTGTAGAATAATTCCTATTGTTTGATTCCATTTGTATTTTTTAAAAAATCAAAATCAAAACTATGTATATTGACTATTCTGGCCACTTCCTGTGAATCTATATTTCCAAATAAAAAGTTGAAATGTGGGGAGGATGGGGGCGGAAGTTGGCTACGCACAGATACCCATCTACATGCACAGGTGTGTGTGTCTGCATATATGGATATGCATGTGTATTCTCGGATATCTCTGTAACTATAAATACAGAGAAAGCGCCTGTTAAGATACACACCAAAACTTTTATCAGAGGTTATCACTACAGACGGAGGGGAATTTGGGGGATAAAAGACGAAATTTACTTCACATACTTCTAAAGACCTTGATTTTTTTTTCACAAAGCTCATGAATTCACAAATTACTTGTATAATTTTTTTTAATAATATTTTAAGCTGCTTGCCAGTAAACGGTTCTATTACATCAGGGTTTCTCAGGCTTGGCACTGCTGACATTTGGTCTGTCCTGTACAGCAGGAGAGGACGGCTAGCTTCACTCCTGGCCTCTCCTCACTAGATAACGCTGGCACCCCCCTCACTCACGGCTGTAACAACCAAAGATGTCTCTAGACTCTGCCAAATGTCCCTGGAGACAGAGAATCACCGTATTCAGTCAAACCAGTTCATAAGCTATCTCCCTCAGAATGTGGCCAGAATTGCCGTATTCCACTCATAATTTACAAAACAGATGAGCATTTGTTCACGTGGGAAAGGCCATTCTCCTGGTTAGCACAGCCCCGTGGGCCACCCTAACGAGTTCCCATCATAAAAGACTAACGTACTCTCTCCTCTTACCTTATCATACAAGGGGATCATAAAGTAACCATTGTTAGGGGCACAGTCTGTCTGGTATTTCAAAGTCCCATGCTTGGTATACAACTTTATCTAGAAAGGAAAGAAAAAGAGAGAAGTCATAATACCACCTTTGAGAATTAGCTATGCATGATACACCTGAATGCATTCAGTCGCTATGCATCACTGAGGATCTGCTACAGGCTGCTATTAACACGGGGCGTTAGGAACAGAGAATATAACAAAGCACCCCCAAAATAAAGTGATTCGATATTTTTCAGGTTAGAAACAATCTAAAGTCCACCCCCAAAAGTCATATTTTTCAATGCTTCTCAGTTTATTTTAGTGGCGGTCTCAATACGGTTGGGTCTAAAATAAATTTGTAAATTTTGCTATTTTAAAGTGCTTGTTAAAATGTATTTCCTGAGCCCCACTTCTGTCTCTAAACTAGAAGGTTTGTGGTGAGGCCCAGGGATCTGCGTTATTAACCCAAAAAAAATTCCCAATATTTGGAGTAACATTCATCTAGAAACTTCTAATTTTCTCTTTTATTTTCATTCTTGAGACAAAAACATATCAAAAGACACTCTATATAAGTCCTCTCCTCCAGGACTCTCTAAAACTGTTGCATCCTGCACATTCCCAGACACAAGTAACATCTGGAACTTCCACATATTGTGTGACCTTGGGGGAGTCATTCAACCTCCTGAGGTCGTTTCTTCATAAGCAAAAAGAGAGCCACTCTCCTTCCTGGTGGCTGCACAGATTCACATCTATGTACATTCAGCACCTGGCACAGAGGACAGACTCAAAAAAAAGGTAGTTTGTATTACTCTTGACATCTCTCTGAAGAAAAAGGCAATATGGTGTCCTCAGCAAGGCAGAGCCTAGACTCAAGGAAAACTTTCTAAAGCTACAGGCGTGGCTCAACCGCTGCGAGCCTGTTTCTACACCTGTAAAAGGAGGCAGGTAGATCTGATGATGTCCAAGAGCCTCACCTCTGAAATGTTAATGATCTGGGGCCACGATACGGAAATCACAGAGTCGCGTCATACCAGCTGAGAAGACGTATAAAACAGCAAACTCACAAAATGCACACTTAGGAAAGGAACAGAATGAAAAGACCCTCCCTGCGGGCGGTGATCACGGCTTCTGCCCCACAGCGCCTGGGACAGTGCCTTGTCAACTGTAGGTACTCCATAAATATCCAACTTCTTTACGGGCCATGAAGAAATTCAGGTGCAGGGACTGAAAATCCACATGTCCCAAGGGGCCAGGGAAGTAACGTCACGGGCCTTCATCTAACAGGAGAAAGACAGATCTCCACTCAACCCAAGACAAAAGTTTTGCAGACCAAAGACCAGCTGGTTTTCCAGAGAAGTCAAGAATGTAGTTTTTAATATGAAATCTCCTGACTGTTAAACTATTAGCAACGAATATAATTTTTCTTTGGTAGGGATTTTTGTCTGCCCTGTTCACAGGCCTGCCATATCCTCACCAGGGACTTCAGCACACGCAGGGGCTCACTCAATAGTTACTGACCGAACGAATGTGATGCAAAAACAACCCAAAAGGGAAGAAGGCTGGAGAAGAGTGAAGGTAGCTTTACTGGAACACAGAAACACAATCAAGCAATGATTGTGAAATATCTTGATTATTTACATTTCTTTCATAGAGCACAATCAGGACACAGGATGACAATATAAATTACATATATGAAATGTCTGATTTCATAATCAGAAACTACAAAAGAGTGAGTGTCTCAGACCATCTGGACAAGCAGCCCGAGGGCTCAAGGAACACACTTCATACTAGGTCACAAAACCTGCCTTCTGCTCTCAAGGTCACTATCTGGGGCGGGGGGCGGGGCAGCTCTAACTGCCTTCACTTTCTCCCTGGAGCCCCAGGAAACTACAAATTACAAAAGGCCTTTCAGGGCAGCTTCTGAAATGCCTGTGCCACACACGGGGAGGCAATCCAAGAGGTGGCACGGGCACCCGCAGATCCTAGGAGCCTGCCACTGCCAGTGGGCAGATTCACCTGACTTCTCAAGACCAAAGAACAGTGGAGAAGCCCCAGACAGAGGGGTCTGGAAGGTGATAACTGGTTAACTTCTTTGGGAAACATATGGTGCTGGGTTCTGCTGCTTCTCTCCCAACACCATCCTCCCGGAACAAAAACTGGGACTTGGAGCAAGGCCAGGTCAAGGAGCTAGCGGGGTGTGGGAGCTACCTCCTCCCCTCCCCCAGTCCTCAGCAACCCGCTTGGTAGAAAATGCTGGGTCAACCCTTCACCGCAGCCCTCCAGCTGCCAGCGCTGGAGCAGCTCCAGTGTGCCCTCAGACATACAGCCTTTGGGGTCTCAGTCCCCAGTCCCATCCTTGGCATCTCCTAGCCTCTTCCTTTTTTCTTTCTCAAAGCCCCTTCTCCTGCCCCATCATCAGTGCCCTCCAAAAACAGAAGCCCAGCCCTCCCTCAGTTCCCTTCCCATCTGTCCTGACAAGTGACCTTCCCCTCCTACCTCCATCTATCTCCCTTCCTCTTCACAAAAGCTTTCTGGGTCATAATCCTCCTGGGCTGATAATCACGTAACTGAATAGGGCTTTACAACTTAAAAAGACTTCCACGCAAATCTGGAGTGTAATTCCAATAACTACCCAGTACGGCAATCAGGGCAGCTGACAACGCTCCATTTTCAGAGGAAAAGGAGTCTCAAGGGGGTAAAGGAGGGGATTAAAAATACAGATTCCCAGCCCCAGAAACGCCAGTAGAGATCTACTGGGTCAGGATCTCTGGGATGGGAATGGATGCTCTTTAAAAGCATCCCAGGGGGGTCTGGAGGAAGGGTGGACTAGAACTTTTGGGGCATCTGAGTTGTGGGGTTTGGGGGATAAGACTTGTGGTCTCTAGGTTCTGGAATATGGGTTTCGAGAAATCTGAGTTTCAGGGGGTCTGGGTTTTGAAGATCTGGGGTATGGGTTTTGGGGGATCTGGAGTCTGCATCCTGCTGAGACTGGGTTTTAAGAGATCTGGGGACGGTCAGCGTTCCGTATTAGTTGGGTCTGGATCCTGGGCATCTGAAGTGTGGGTTGTGATGAATCTGGAGTCGGGGGATCCTTAGTGTTGAGTGACATAAGCGAGGAACCGCCATCACCGTCACCAAAAACGTCCCTCACACCCCACCCCGGAGCTGACCCCACGAGAAGAGCCTCCACTCCAGCGCCAATGGGGAGGGGACGCCGGGGGGCCCGCGGGAGGCGGAGCCCTGAAAGAAGCGAGGCCCCCTAGCACGTGGGGCCGGCGGTGGCAACGGCCTGGCGTCAGAGGCGAGGCCCCGCGGCCCCGAGAGGCGGAGCGACGGGCCCGGGTCACCGAGCGCCCCGAGGGGCGGGCGCTCACCTCGATGAGCGAGTAGTTGATCTCCACGTCCGACTTGACGAAGCCCCCGCAGCCCACCACGATGTCCTCGGAGCCGCGCGCCGGCCCCACGCCGCTCAGCAGCAGCACCACGGCGGCCACCACCGCCACGGGCCGCGGCCGCATGGCCCGGCCTCCG